CAACCAACTGTTCATTTATGACAAGGATATTGATATTGGAGATCGCTTAGTATCTGAGCTCCGGATGCCGTCTCGAGGGCTGTCATCTGTCGATCTCTTCGACGTTGTCAGCCGGCTGAATGGCCCATTACCTGTCTTCCATCCACAGTACTTGGCGCAGTATATTCTGGCCGGGAAGACTAGCTTGGTGCACTCCATTCTCTTGAATCTACATCGCAAGCTGAAGTTCTACACCGAGGGCGATGAACTGGATGGTTTCCTAGAGATGCCAGTAGAATGTTTCTACGAGCAAGATGTAGGTGCGCATCATTTAATCCTTTTTCTCAAAACTAACAAAAATTCAGAGTACCCAACAAGCAATCTCCAAGGAAATGCGCTCTTCCCACGTCGATTTCACTGGTGAGGAGTTGTTGTCTGTCGTAGATGAAAACACCGCGACCACGCTCAATGAGAGTTTAGCGCGGATTGCCTTGCCACAACTGTCTAGCCACGAACAATTCCGCTTGGCAGATACCATTGAATGCGTTGCAATGGTTGAGAAGCATCGGCGCTCAATGGACGATAATGCAGCACGCTATCTCTTATTCTTCCGACAGCATATGCTGCGACGGACTCAAGGAGTCGCCAACAAAGACACAGTCTCTTGGCGAGAGATTGTTTGGGCTTACCATAGCAGCAGCCAAGATATTCTCACAGATCTTGTTTCCCGGCAGTTCAATGGAAAACTGACTTGGAAGGCTGCTCGCGAAAGCGGTCTCTTCATGTGGCTATCAGATTCTGTAGCTGTGGTGCGTGCTTATCATATCCTTTTCTTAGCCACGATCTAACCGGTTTATTAGAAAGCACAACTCGAAATCCTCGCCCGATGTGAATACATCAAAACAGAGGAGAAAAACCCCATTGACTGTACTTTGTATTACCTCGCCCTCGGAAAGAAGAACGTCCTTCAGGGTCTCTGGCGTATTGCACACTGGAACCGTGAACAGGCAGCAACCCAACGTTTGTTGGCAAACGACTTCAAAGAACCGCGATGGAGGACATCTGCACTCAAGAATGCTTATGCATTGCTTGGAAAGCGAAGATTTGGTGATCTGACCCTCGCAATGTTTCCTACTAAATACTGCCAGCTAACACTCCACAGAATATGCGGCATCTTTCTTCCTTCTCGCCGATCATCTGCGTGACGCTACAAACGTCATCATAAACCAGATGGGTGACCTGCAGCTCGCGATCGCAATCACTCGAGCGTCAGAAGGGGACAACGGACCGGTTCTACGGGAGATACTGGAAGAAAAAGTATTACCTGAGGCCGCTTCCGAGGGTAATCGCTGGATGGCCTCTTGGGCTTTCTGGATGCTTGGACGACGGGACATGGCAGTACGGGCACTGATTGTGAGTACTTTTCTTCTCCGACATCAACCCCCACACTAATCAGATTTAGTCCCCGGTCGAGACCCTCCTATCACCAACGATAACCCCAGCCACCCCGGGAAGTCCGGGGCGGGTAACCCTTCAGTCCAAGTCTTATCTATCCAACGACCCTGCCTTGGTGGTCTTATACCAACAACTCCGCGAAAAGACACTTCAAACCCTGAAAGGTGCATCCAAAGTGCGACCTAGAGAAGAATGGGAATTCGTAATCCGCAATGCCCGACTCTACGACCGCATGGGCTGCGACTTCCTCGCTCTCGATTTGGTACGCCACTGGGAATTCCTGGGCGGAATCCCTACCCAGAATGCAATGAAGCCTGATACATCCCTAGAGATGGATGAGAACGGAGTTGATTACCGAAAACTGCTTCGTCGGCGGAGCAGCCTCGTAGTTGCTGATATGCCAGTGCGCCGAGCAGATTTCTTGCAGAAACCCGCCGTTTCTGAAATCATACCTGGCGGGCAACAGATGAAAGAAGAAAAGAAACTGAAGCCAAAACCACCTCCTACGATGTTCCATGAGCCGGATGCCAATTCGTTGCTGGATAGCTTTGGGTTCTAGGTTAGAGACTTATTTATGTTGACGTCATACTATTTTTCTGGATATAAACATATCCAGTTACCACCGAGTTGAGAACCAGGGATCTAGGACATATGGATTTTTATCCCTCATGTCCAAGCATTTAATTTAATAGCGATCCTGTGAGAGAATACATGTAGTCCATCACTCCAAGTGTTCACGTGACTCGTGTCAATGCGGTCTACGGAGTGGGAACTTCACGAGTTGTACAAAATACACCAACTTTTAACACAGTCTTCCTCATTCTATCAGTTGTTGGCCCCAAGAAGATAGGTGAGGGAAATCGACCAAGAAGCAAATCCGGCAATTGGATGGATGCTATCCACACTGCACGGGCCTTGATCCCTTGCAGAATGTGATATCGCAGATGAACTCTAGAGAATACATACGACTCAAGGAGGCTGGGAAGATGTTAATCACCATCTACCAGTCAGCCTGACAGACATTTCATGTTCTGATTATGATTGGACCTCTCCAAAACTCTATACGATCTACATTCCACTAAGTACAACGAACATCCGTGTGGTGCTATCATGCTCCTCACACAATGATCAACGATCCCTAGTCATTGCAGTGAGAGTGCTACACAGAAGCGGTCAAAAAGCGTGAAGACGGATTGATTTAGCAATGCAAAGTGGAAAACTCTACAGAAGATTTCGGTTGACAACTGTGCTGAACCCCAATGAGCTAGCCCGCTGGTTGCACTAGCCCCAGATGGCTGCAGATGGTCTGCAAATAGCCTGATAGACTACCTATCCTAGTGCGATCGGCACCACTAATCTACGCTATTGCATTGCAATCTCGCCGATCTTTCAGCTGTCCTCAAACTTCTTGTGAACGATGGAGACTATGGCCGAACGCAAGATCCCTCTTGCGCCAATGGCCTCGGTCACCTCGGCCTATGATCGGGAAAAAATGCAGACTTTTATGGAGACTAAAATTGAGAGCTGGTACTTTAGGACTCCCCCCGCCCGCGGGAAGGTTGAAATCCCTTTTCTCTCTCTGACTTTCGACATTTGCTTTGATGTATGAGTGATATACCTCATCGTTCTTCGCCAGCGACAATGCCTACCAAAATCCCAGGACCGCCCGGAGTTCCCCTCTTGGGTAATATTTTCGATGTCAACCCCAATGAGACGTGGAACTCGCTCAACAAGTTGGCCAAGGAATTTGGTATGACCGCAATCCATCCGCGAACCTAGGCAACACCCGGCCCCAACGAGTAATCACTAACTTGATTAGGCTCGATTTTCAAGATCAATGCTCTCGGTCATGAGATTGTTTTTATCGGTAGTGTCGCTTTGTTGGAAGAGATTTGCGACCAGACCCGATTCCGCAAGTGTGTTACAGGACCAGTAGTCGCAATTCGATATGCCGTGCATGACAGTCTGTTCACAGCATACGACTACGAGAAAAGCTGGGGTATCGCATACAGGATCATGATGCCTCATCTTACGCAATCTGCGACCGACAGCCTCTTCAGCGACATGGCGGAGGTCATCCCGGACCTGACCAAAAAGTGGAGTGCAGGAACCAAGACACGGATCTTGCTCACCAGAGACCTGGACCGTCTCCTGCTTGCATCCTGTATGCAGTGTTTCTTTAACCAGCGCGTGCACGTGCTCGAAGGCGCCGAGCCACCTATGCTCAGTGCCATGGAGGGCGCCACCATAGAGGCGATGAAGCGACCCACCCGCCCCAAGCTACTGAACTGGCTTTACCAGCGCCAATTTGAGAAAGATACGAATACCATGCGTGCGTTCGCTGCGCAGGTAATCAAGACTCGGAAAGAGCAGCCAGAGACTGCTCGTAAGGACATTCTGGATGCGATGTTAAACGGCGCCGACCCGGAGAGCGGCGAGAAGCTCTCCGAGTCGCAGGTTATCGATGAGATCATCACGATCTTTATCGGTGCCGCCACAGCACCCAACCTTGTCTCCTACGCCCTATACTATCTGATGATGAACCCGAGTGAGATCAACAAGGCGCAGGATGAGATCGACCGTGTAGTCGGCGATGGTAATATCGACCTGGAGCATCTGAAGAGCCTCAATTACGTCGAGGCCATCCTGCGCGAATCGATCCGTCTTTCTGCCACCGCACCAGGCTTTAACATCGAACCCATTCCCTCCAACGATAAAAGCCCTATCCTTCTTGCCGGTGGCGAGTATCAAATTGCTCACAACCAGCCCATGATCGCAGTCTTGAGTCAAGTCAACCGCGACCCGGCTGTCTTCAAAGACCCCGAGGCATTCAAGCCTGATCGTGTTTTCGGTGAGAAGTGGGATCAGCTCCCTGCCGCCGCGAAGAAGGGCTTCGGTAACGGCAAGCGCGAATGCACTGGCAAGCTCTGGGCTTGGCGGTGGTCGTTCTTTACTCTCGCCAGCATTATAAAGGAGAATACGTTTGAGCTGGCGGACCCCAAGTACAATCTTGAGTCGAACGGTGCATTCAGTATCAAACCGCTTGAGTTCTACGGTCTTGTTAGCCCACGGAAGTAATTTTGAAATTGACTTTTTTGGTTTTGATAGGATTGGGTCAGTGGACATGAAGTCGGTAATGAATTTGTCGATATACTCTTAACGTTGTTATGAATGAATATCTGAAACAAGTTTGAATCTATCTCTTTTTAATCCTTTTTTCTATCATTTTCTATCTTTAACTTCAAACACAGATGGTGACCAGGTGAAGATGGGCTCATTACGTGGCGGCTACGTAGTGGGCGAGGTATGTCAACGCCACGCTGACATCTAAACTCCCCCATGAGTCCGAAGTAAAAAACAGCACCTAGAGTTCTACAATGGAAAAGAGTATTTGAAAGAATGTGTTTCAATGTATAACCAAAAAAGGACCAGCCTAAAAGTCTCTATATTGACGTAGAAGCAGATACCATTCCAGCTGGGCGTAAACCATCCTCCCGAAACAGAATGATCCAAGAGTCTATCTTCAAAATCATGTATAATCAAATCTCAAAGAAAACCCAAATTTTTTATCCGCTGTAATCAATGGTAACAGCCAGACGAACAGGACCAGAGGACAAGTTAGCACCAATACCACCGACATTAGTCTCAGCGGAAGTGTAAGCGTTATCGACCGTACCGGCATTCTGGGTGACAGAAGAGCAAACAGAGCCAAGGGCATCACAGATCTTCATGCCAGAGATGGACATGCCAGCGTTCTGCGCAGCGATGACCGACACATCGAAGCCAGACCAGCCATTGTTGATAGTGGAACCGAAGTCGAACTCGCCCCAGGTAGAAGCGTAGCCACCCATGCTATCGGTGGGGATGGTGGAGCCGGAGGCGGCGGCCCAGCCACCATTGGAGTTTTCATCGAAGGCAACGTACACGGTCTCGCCGGCGGCAAGAGTGAAAGTGTGACAGGCATTGCCGTACCAGCCTGTCATCTCGCCATCTGGACCGTACTTGTTAAAGATGGCAACGGTCCAGTCCTCGGTGTTCGAACCGGTGAACTGCGCCACGTACTTGTAGTTGCTGGCGGACGAGGCATCAACTGAGATGATATTGCTACCGTAGGGATTGCCCACGTTGCCGGAGTATGTTTCGCCTGAGCCTGATGAGCTGGTGGAGCCGCCGAATCCGGCGGTAGAGTATGAGCCGCTGGAGGGCGTGGAGGTCCAGCTACCACCGCTGGCGGCTGCAGCCTGGCGGTGCTCGAGGGTTGCGGGTCTGGCCAGGGTGCTAGTGGTGAGGGCTGCGAGCAGTATGAGAGACTTGGCGAATTGCATTTTTATAGATGGTCTTGGATGTGGAGTCGCAAAAGAAGGTAAATATCAATGAAGATTTGAACGAGTGTTTCGATGTTCTAGTTGAATTCAAAGGACAGTCTTGTATAAATGAATGAATGGCGGTACCAAAATGAGTGTGGTTGATTGAAGAAAGAGAAATAAACAGGTGGAACAAAGGCAGCTATAAATACTCTCGAAAGTAGCAGAATCTTCTTCTTCCGCCACGTTTCCCTCGAGAGGAAAAGATGAACCGAAAGTTCCGGGTACCTGGCTCTATCCAAGCGAACCATAGGGGGTACACATCTGGGCACGCGTCAAACCGCTGAAAGAACTCGTATACCATGGGTTCCACAAAGGTCGAGGCCACGGATTTGACATTTAGTGACTGTGGATTGGGGTTGGAGCCGGTCGATGTGTCTCATAGTAGATAAATGTAGTCTGATTGGGCCCTTCTGTGTTGATTTAAGCCACCATCAAATCTAGAATTTTGGACAATTCAGGACATTCCTCATTGGTGGGCCTATCAGACCATGAGCTTAGCCATTCTCTTTGTCCATGGACATTCAGTTTCTGTATCCGTGGATGGAAACGGAGTAAGCTCGGAGTAAAGTCAGGCAGAGGAGGCACTTTCCAAGGTTACCTATTCTCCGCATTTTCAATCTAAATACATACCATTCTTCCAGAATGCAGAGGAAGGCTACCAGGCTTGAGAACTGTCGAGAGTGCACAAGGTAGAATTGTGACTGCAAAAGGAGCTACTCGACAAGGACAACTGCCGGTCTGGAAACTTTAATGTTTGCAAATCACATTGTCTGGGTCCAACTACAAAAGGATGCCCTAGTGTGGACCCAGTAGGGATCAGATCGTTTTAGTCCGGGGCTAAAGGCAACGGAACTATCAGGAACTCAGATCCGGGAATGATTAGAACTGTGGCCGCTGCATTGCTAAGATGCGCGAGATAACAGCACTATTATATTTTGACGCCTTACTGCTTCATGCTAGAAGCATCCTATCACTCCTGGGAATTCTCCGAAGTTGATTGTTGATGAGATTTTGTAGGATTTGTGTGATCCGTGGACACCAACGCTGTGGTCCAGGAGGAAAGTAATATGATTGGTTGAAAATGTTTGCGTTTCAACCAATGACAGTACAGTTTGTGGTCTTGGCAGGTCATGAGTTGTGCTGTAACCAATCATCACTGACCCCTTTTTGCAATCCATGGTTAACTACTTCTCAAAGTTCCTTGAATTCTCTTCAAGAGGTCAATTTTTTGGGTTAGAAAAAAGCCGCAATGCAAGCCTTGGATCCTACTTCACATGCAAGTCATCCGCTAAATCTCTCAAACTGCTACCATCTTCCAGCGGATTAGATTTCCACAGGTAGATCGTTTGGTTCTTTCTGTTATCCGGTGTTGTTCCGCTAAGAGTGCCATCTCCCAGCTCTAAACCAAGGGGGCGCGGATTCGGGCAATAAAGAACTCAATGTTCGAAGAGTGAACTTTGGAAGAGATTTCGGGATGGATGTTGCAACTGCCTAAATGCGGAAACAAGCCTTGGCATGTTATGTCAAGTTGATTGTTTCGGATATTTAGGACAAGCATTGGACTGGCTTTTCTTGCTTCAACGGTCATGATTAAAGTTAGACGCTACGCACAAAAAAGACCCTTAACAAAGACCCTTAATGTGATCCTCCTGTGAGACTTGGCCAAAAATTGTGGGTTTCCAAGACAAAAAACAAGTCTAGGCATATAGATGGTCTGATGGAGTCTAGAAAGAAGTTGGCTAGGCTCTATGATGCTCATTAAAAACTTAGATCAGAAGACGCTTTCCCTACTCCCCAAAACTAGGACACACATGCGGCCTCTGTCCTTCAATTTCAACTTAAGCCTACATAATGATTCACCTGGCTCAATATTGTACATTGGAATTGGCATGTAAGATAAAACCGTGTTTCCTTCTCGACTATCCTTTTGGATGCCTTTTTCTAGAGTTTCTTTGTCGAGGTTGACCTTTTCAAAGGAGAATTGGAAGTGGCACTGAGTAGACACTAACTTGTACGAATTACAAAGGCGGAAAAACGCATGAAATTTTCATGCAGGAGACTTTTCTGTGTATATCCAGGGATACAGTATCGATCGCAATTACGTTGGTGAGGTCTGTAACTATACTGTGCAATTGTCTTGTTTCCGGCACCTCTTGCAATGACATTGTCAAGGTGTTTACCGTGTGATAGGATGATGATTTATTCTATCAAGAGAAAATCTGAAAGTAGACATGCAAAGCTAAAATTATAGTCGCGCAGTGTAAAAATAGTCGAGTTGTGTACTCTGATGCCTGTTTAATTAGGCCTTCATTGCACCATCATATCACGTGAAGATACCATCGCGCATCATCCACGTCATCACTTGATCAGCCAGGGTGGCCTCCAGGACTCCACGTGATCTCTCACTGTCATGGACCAATCAAAACAGTATTTAATGGCCGTCCCACCAGGTTTCAGCTGAGTGAGACCCGAAAAATTTAAGCTCAGAAAGACCCGAAATTAAAACACCATTAAAGAGAACTACTCCGTAGAGCCCCTGAATTCCCTAAATTCCCTGATCCTAACAGAGCCCTGATAGAGAATATAGTGTAGAGGTGACAAAAAAATGGGGTTTTTCCTCCTGGTTGGCCGAGCCTTCTACTCCGTACCTGATTATGTAAAGTCAATCTTTAAAGTCAATCTTTCGGGTCTCCCTCAGCTGAAACCCGGTCCCACCTTAGCAGGACTTGGAATTTGCGGACGAGAAGCTACAGGGATCGTATGTTGTATAAATCTTCAAATACGAAGTCCAAGTTAGTTACAAAAGAGATGAATGGGGATCCTTATAATCCATAGCAACACACTATGGGCCCTGAATTTGCGAGAAATTCAAGTGCATTCAAGTCAATACAGCTGATTCTCATAGAGAAGAAATGACCGAAGGAACTAACTGGATGCAATATATAGTGAAAGGAAAGCTTGGGCTGGTTCCTAATCCGCCAAATTAATGACTTGGATTTACGTAAATCCTAGCTGCAGATTGCATGTCTCTATCTAAATATGGACATACGAGCTCAAATAAGAGCTTTGACGACTGGCTGCCTAGCCCTTGCCAAGCAGCCCAACCCCATTTACACCCGAAGGGGGTAACTTCGGGTGTTGAGTTACTTGGCAAAGCTCGGGTAGTAACTGAGATGCGCGGCAATCTGAATCATTAGAGAACCTTGGGGGGAAATGCATAGATGAGCACAAAGGAAGGGACATTGATACATGATCTGAATGTCCCCTGGATAGGTAAACACGCTGGCCTCAGGCCGCAAGGCCGTCCATCTGTTATTCACGGTTCTCTTATATTTGTTTGGCAACTAGAATCTTACTCGGCTATTCGGATAATCGGAGTACTATATAGTTCCTTACTAGCCTAGAAATTAAATTAAGCTTGGCGTGTTTTGCAGAAAACCCGCAACACGTGCTCCGGCATGTCGATCAGCGGCGAATCGGCCCGATACTCTATCGGGCTAACTCCGAGTGTTGGCACACGCCATGGCTCTGAAATTTCGGAGAATCTCTATGTAATTGTCCCTGGATAAAGGGTATGAAGGGTCTATCCCCACTTTGCCAGCCCCTGACATAAGAAGCCCGATCTTCCCTCCATTTGAGGATCGTTCTACGTTCCTGGCGCTATCTCCAAGATGACTTCTCAACTTTCCTCGCTATCTACGCTGCTGCTCCTAGGATCCTTCCTAGCACCAGTTAGCTCGACCGAGATTCCTGCCAAGGCGCAGCTGATCGACCAAAGAATCTTCAACGTTCTAAACTCGACTCAGCCCGCAGCCGAATTCAATGCGAAGACTGTATGCAATTCCTCCGGTCTCCGGTGGCCCCTTACTGATTGATGTATAGCTGTTTGTTCCTCCCGGATCGACAGGTGAAAGTCTAGCCCAGCAGCCATTCCACGTGTACGACGAGGAATTTCTGAAGATCATCGGAGAAGCTCCAACCCTGACCCGGATCGCGCACTCCCCAAAGGACCCCTTGTTCCATGAGGCGGTTGTATGGTAGGTAACCAAAATGCTACTCAAGCACATCCCAAGGATAGATAGAATCTGACTTTACCGTCTAGGTCTAAGGAAACAGACGAAGTGTTTTTTGTCCAAAATGCAGGCTCTAAGATCGCCGGCACTGGTCTCAACAAGTCGGCTATCGTTGAGAAGATTTCTCTTGAGGAAGCTGCTGCTGTCTCCCACAAGTCGGATGCCGTGGGTCTTGTTAATGTAACCACCGTTCCTTCATCGCCGATGGTTCTCAACCCCAATGGTAGGCATTCAACTCTTTTTTTCTTGTCTGGGTGAAGACAACTGACTGTGCTCCAGGGGGTACCAATTACCGGGGACTGATCATGTTCGCCGGTGAGGGTCAAGGTGATAGTGAACCACCTGCTCTGTGGGCTATGAACCCGAAGAGTCCATTCAATACTTCAGGTCAGTACAAGTCACCTCTTTGCCTTTCAGGAGTTAACCAAGTGACCTCTAGTTGTCCTTAACAACTACTTCGGTCGCCAATTCAACTCTCTGAACGATGTTGCCGTCCACCCAACAAGCAAGGATGTCTACTTCACAGACACCATCTATGGCTATGCACAGGACTTCCGCCCTGCTCCCGGTCTTCCGGAACAAGTTTACCGGTTCAACCCCGAGACAGGTGCTGTGACAGTTGTCGCTGATGGATTTGACCATCCCAACGGTAGGAGTTAAAAAAAACATGCAGGCTTAAAAAGGAATGTGTAACTAACATTACGCCAGGCTTCACTTTCTCTCCGGATGGCAAGTACGCATATGTCACCGATACCGGACTCGACAGCGGCAAATTCGGTCTCAACTTCACCCGCCCTGCCTCTATGTATGTGCTGTCAATTCTTATATTCTCTAATTGTACTTGAAGCTGATGATAGCCTGCTTGTTACAGCTACCGATTTGATGTGAACGAAGATGGCACACTCGAAAACCGCAAGGTCTTTGCCTTTGCTCACTCTGGTGGACCTGATGGTAAGTCAAGCAAGCTAACACAATGTGATTGAGGCTAACCTCTTGGAAAGGCATCCACTGTGATTCATGGGGTAACGTATATGCTGGCTGTGGCGACGGTGTCCATGTCTGGAACCCATCTGGCAAGCTCATCGGCAAGATCTACATTGGATCCACTACAGCGAATTTCAACTTCGCTGGAGAGGGCAGAATGGTTATTTGCGCTGAGACCGACCTTTACTACGCCACAGTAGCCGCGGCCGGGAGCTATATTGACAGCGAGATGTGAGAAGCAGCGGACCACTTTGGGTTTTCGATATCTCGGGTCAGGTCATTGATGTAATAGTAATGATGGGTGATAATGCTGATGTGGCACGTTTATCTTGAGCTTGCGCTAGAGTCGAAACAGTTTTTTGTATTACAAATAAATAACATGAAAGATGTGATAGATCAGGAAGCCTTCTCTCGAGTTTTTACCCCACCCAGACACCATACACGCCATCACCGATGTCCCGTGTGCGATGGCAACTCATGGATCATATTTTCATTTCGACTAGCAAGCTCTTGCAGTGGTTGGGGCACTAGGCTTTCGGGGCCCTTATCGTGGTATTCAACAATGCTCGATCCAGGAACACTTGAGATAAGAGGGCTTGGGTCTATAGGTGTTCCTATGCTCTTCTTTGTCCGATTTCGCCGACTGAGTAAGAACCAGAGTAGACCAGCCAGGATGACCAACCCTGCTACTCCGCCAACAACGCCACCAGCAATAGCTCCGGTGTTGGACGATGACGATGACGAGTTATCCGGCTCGCTTGCGGAGGTGGTGGCATCTGCAGTACTAAAAGTGGTCGTGGTGCTGGAAATTGTACTGGAAATTGATGATGATGGCAAGGCTGTTGAGGTAGTACCTATAGGTTGGGGGGGGGGAGGGGGTTAGAAAATCAGTTCAACTAGTCAATGACTATGATAAAGGCCCAGGCCGTCAAAAAATGACATACCATGATACCAAATTTTCAAGAGAGACATATTACTGTCCAAGGTGGATGTATCATTGGTGCAGCCGACAAAAGAGTTCTTCTTCTCGAAAGCCTGCGTGCCAGCAGCGCAGCAAAAGAAATCATTCGCCTTGTAGACATTTGCTGTTCTATTTGCACAATGTGTGTCATCAAGCAACTCGGAGCAGTCTGCATTTGATGGGCAGCACTTCACGTTTCTTTGATCAGCTGGGCATTTTGTGCCTCCAGGACAACAGGCACGAAACGGTGCCCAAGTTTGGCCGCAATCTTCTTCGGTGACGAGACAGGAGCCGTTTCTGCGGACGGACAGCCCATATGGGCTACTCAGCATATCCGACATTGGATCTTTCACTTATGACTGTGAAAAATAGGGGGGGGAAAGAAAATAATTAGTTGAATGCATATAGAAATTATTACGGAGTAGGGAGAGTGTCAAAGCAAGGTCTCTTGCAAAAATAACTGATGCTGAACCGAGGGGGCGCTTAGTGCTTATATTGGGCAGCTCAATGGTTGGAGGATTGTGCCAGTCTCAATGTCCGTGATGAACATCGAATGAAAAATGGGGCCGTGTCTATTACTAGCGTATACAAAAAAATTTAGAATGATTTGGGGGCCATTTTCAATTGAGCTGCATCACTACGTTGTAGATACTCGTATGGGAAATGAGCGGCGGGGGAACATGGTGCTATTGGCTACACAAATTCACTCCGCAGCTGGCATTTTTAAATCTTATGTTAATCTACTTAGGACCAGCTAAGCAAGTAAATTGTTCACAATATCATAGGCAGTGGAGCCTTCACGGTTGCCCTTAAATTGGATGTGGTCGACTTTGTATACCCGTCTCGTATAAGGTCCCGCTAGCATTTCTTAGCGGTGTCAACAGCACTTCTGCAATAGTATAACTAATACTTTAATTATGGGGGAATTGAAAGAGTATGCATAGAAATGAAGCGGAATTTCCAAGAATTTCGTGTCCACCGACTGTACTCCATTTTATAACCTCCAATGGAGTTTCGCAAAAGCGTTCCTTGACAAATCCGTCAGCAAAATTTTGTTGAGAAATCTGACTTATCATAATACATTCTAGGTACCTCAAACGGATATTAGACCCGAGAAATTATCGCGAGCCATACCCTCACTGAAGAAAAACTAGTCTCATCTAGCCTTTTTACGGAGCACGAGCTTCACAATCTCCAAGAATGCTAATATGATGCCTGGTAGTCACATCAATTAGATAGATCCTAGACTCGCTGGAGAATGAAAGATCGCAAGGAAAGATTTACCAGACTCGGAAGCCATACTCGTACCGAAAATACATCTGACCAACAGATTTTAGATTGTCTCCATGATAAAGATTATCATATTGATGCAGACTTTAAGGATTGCAAAGACTCGAAGATCACATTGAATAGAATTCATGCCTCAATAAGACATCGATGGCCTCGTGGAACCATTAAGAAGAAAGATTGCATCTCCATCTCGTTGGCTATCATGCCTTCTTTCGTAGAAGGTCGAGCGTTTGGCAAGGCTCGAAAGAAAATCGCTGTGGCTAGACGGAGCTCCATTCGAGCTAGGTGCATGCCCAAACAGACTTTGGGAATTAGCCCTATTGGTGACTTGACCGGGGGACAACATCAAGAGACTTACTCCTTGATCCACCACCAAATGGTAAAGAAGCATCCTTCATTTCTTTAGTGGGATTTGCCCACCTCTCGGGTTTAAAGCTGTTTATGTTATCTAATTTCCCAATATCAACCCTATTAAGAACTAGCTGACTCACGTGTCCGGGTCCGCGAAGATAGACTTGTCTCGATGAAGACTATAAGCCTGGGTTGAGACCGTAGTTCCTCCTGGCACATTATAACCGTTGAACTGAGCACCTTCGGGTGGCACCAGTCGAGGGAGACCAAATGGAACAGCGGTATATAATCGCAAAGTCTCGCTGATGATTTGATTGAGGTACGGTAGGTTTCTGAGGCTTTTGTCCGTGATGGGCGCAGGAATACCAGCCAACTCGGCAACAAGCTTCTCTCGCACTCGGCTGTCTCGACACACGGCATACGTAAGATAAGTCAATGTGACAGCTGTAGTATCACTTCCTGCAATAATGTACCCCTGGGCCTCCTGTATAATTTCTGAATATGACATGCCACTCTTGGCGTCAAAAAGTTTTGTGAACAGGGTTGGCTTTGGGTTGGATGGATCTTGAGAGATTAAATTTTTGTAGCGATCAATAGACTGAACGGCATACGTCCTGAGTCTATCCTCTGATTTTGCCGTGTCCTTGATAATCGGTACGGGGACGTATCTTGCAATCTTCACTAGAAGTGGGAAGGTTGTCCGAAAGGGCTGTAGTGAAATCAGTCTTTCCATGTCAAGACTGTATTGATTTTTCTAAAATTCTGTATTAGCAGAGGTATTCTCTTGCCGAACTCAACTCCACAGACTTTGCCAATCTCAAGCATTCGAAATGAGTCTCCAAATGTGAGTTCTCCAATGATGTCCGTGGCCATAAACAGCCACCATTTGAACACATCACTAACGCCATGATCCTTGAGGTCCATTGTGATTTTTTCAACGGCGATGCGGACACGACTGGCTATTAGAGGCTCAAGGCGAGTCAGCGAAGAGTCAGAAATAGGCGATGCCAAAAGACGCCGGTGGTGAGTGTGGAAACTTCTGTCGGTTGTTGAGAATGTGGTGGGCACATTTCCTATGGATAGCTTGCGATAGAAACCAGTTTTAGCAAAACGGCTATTAGTTTTGTGGATCTCCTTCACGGCACTTGTGTCGCAGATATCGATCTGGTATGGGCTGATTCGTACAATAGGTCCTATGTTGATATTAGGCATTTCTTCTTTAACAACACTAAGTGTGGACATCACATACCATATTTTTCATGAAGCTGGTGAACATACATAGGTGCCTTTCCATTTAACCAGTTGTATGTTAAAATGACTTCTGACCATTTTGATAACTCAGGTCCGGGCATATGAGACAGCGAGTTTGTGAGTCTGCGATAGACAGTGCTCTATATCTCGCATGAGTAGCAGTACTTTTGAGGGGACTTTGTTGTGCCTACCAGAATGGCAGCACCAAGCATGCATATTAGCCAGCAGCTAATTCGAAAAGAACCAGTTAAAATTTCAGGTGACTCCATTATGTGTTTCGGGGCAAAGGCTTTTGATATGGAATTGGGCAACTATCACTGGGAAGTCTATTTATATTCTAGATTCTCTAGTAGCACAATGAGGTCGGAGAGTGTTCCGAAATCCCATCATATCCAGTCCTACGTGACACGGCAACATATCGGAAGGGAACCAAATGATCCGATAGGTAAATCTATGTTAGAGCAAAGCAGACAACCCTTTTCGGGGGATGTGGGAAAACTTTTCCTCCAAAAGGAATGGTTTTCTCTTGCCGACTTCCGATATTGTACTCGCCCTGTATATGTAAGGTACATGATTGGCTTTTTTTTTGCTAAAGGATGTAACTTTGCTGGAGAGATCAGTAGACCATCGGAGATATCATTGTCGGTGCACGATGGCATCCAAGGCAACAAAAATAAGAACATCTGCTTATTTATACCAGATTTTCCTAAATATTAAGTTAGTGGGGAAATTGTATCGTTTTGAAGCACTTTCTGGCCTCATTATTGTGCCAAGTTGCTAAGAGAGATGAGGTAGAGACAGAATCTGACTGTCGATTTGGAGACTACCCAGGTATTTTCTTGTCTGTTACTGAGCGAAATACATCAGTTATAGCAGCACAGGTTAGACATGCCGGGCTCATCACACTACGAGATATAAGAAAGTAAAAGCCAAATACAGATAGAGTGTGTGACTTCTCTAGGTGTACAAGGATAACGAGCAGGATGGCTGCTTGAACTTCATAGGCACTCACTATCCGGGGTATGTCCAAGTTTGATACCGATGGTTTTGTTTCTCCCCTTAAATATTTTTTCTCCTTCCTTGCATGTTCGGTACGATTTCCAGAGCCTACCTACCGTTTTGTTGTTAATTGATTAAGTTGGTAGAGCAAGGAAGGAGATGCAGAAGCAAAAAAAAAGACCGGCCCGAGCCCGGGATTGAACCGGGGACCTCGCGCATTAAAGATGCTCAGGGTTGAACCCTAAGCGCGAATCATACCACTAGACCACCCGGGCGGTTATTGCGAGTCAAGAAAAATTGTTAATACATATTCTTTTTCCTCACACAATCTATAAGGCACCCAGGTGAGGATAGGTACTGTTTTGTATCCAACTTTAAATAGCCTATGTTGTACGGTCGCCAGGTACTGTGGTTGGGCGTAGGCACCGTAACGTATTCGGTAAGCGAGCTGGCCACCCCAACCAACTTCTTAATTTAAAATGCATTTTTCTCATATAGCTGGGCATCTATTAATCTTATGCCCTATTTCTCCACAACCACTACACTTTGGGGGGGCCCGTATACGTGGTTGTAAAGCCGGCGAAGGGCTTCTTCGTGGAGGGAGAGGAGGTACTTCAATTGCTTCCACCGGCTCAGTAATCAATTGAGAAGCTTCTTGAACTGAGAGGCCTTCTTCAGCAGGTATCTGCCTCTGGGATCTAGTACGCTTTTGCTTCTGCTTCTCGTTGGCGGCGCGTAAATCCTTGTTTTCTTTAGCGAGTAAGATAGCACATTGCATTGTAAGACGGAAGCCTTTTATAAGCTGGTTTAATGCACGATCTGTGTCAGGGTGCGGGCTGGCAGGACGGTATGATAGGAGATGACTGGTAGGAACATGTCATAACAGATCAGATTCCCATTGACAGGTACAGGCAGGGGCAGGCTATTATACAAGACGTAGCTCGAAGAGCTACAACAGAACTGAAGTTCAGATAAACAGGTCGGAGATCACGTGTCGTGATCTTCCTCTTACTAAGCATCACGGTTCGCACCGTGACAATAGGCGCCCACGACGCCTAAGGCCCGTGTGCCCCAAGGGTAGGGCCCGTCCATGGGCGTGTCCATAGGGCCTATTTCCCGCTTGTATAAGGCCCGTGGGCAGTGCCCACCCGCCCGTCCACAGGCGATGTCGCAGTCTAGTTAGATCCTCTTCTTCTTAGCATTATCTACCAAGTAGGTCTAAAGTTCCTTAGATCTGATCTTAAAAGAAGGTAGATTAGTCTAAATAGAGGGCTCCTACCTTCCTCTAGCTCTATTATGTAGTTAGAAGTCTTTGTCCTTAGAAGGGTCCCCGCTTTTTTATAATCGAATATTTTAAGATACACTTCTAATTTAGGGGGAAATCCTTAACCGATCTAAGTATAAATCCCCACTATATTTATTTAGGTAGTTTAATTAAGGCGTAGATAACTACCAAAAAACCAAAGGGTTCCCGGCCTGAATAGAAAACTAAAACTGATTAATTTCGATTCTGTTTATCAGGGGCTCTTGAACTAAAATAAGAAAATATCTTGCATCACCGCCCGGGTGGTCTAGTGGTATGATTCGCGCTTAGGGTTCAACCCTGAGCATCTTTAATGCGCGAGGTCCCCGGTTCAATCCCGGGCTCGGGCCGGTCTTTTTTTCCCTCTTTTTTGGGCTCTTCCTTACTAATTCAACAATAAAAAAACACTCCAGTTAATCAGATATGCAGTTATTCACATACATCGTGCGTGACTCTTAGATTAACCACCAGAAGAATGTCAACCATGCTCGAATAAAGTTGCTAACATTCACATCACCTCTACTATATGCTCGTGGTATAGTGCTTGGGATGGAGATATAGGTCATGGAAGCATTGATAAAAAAAATTGATAATTGGCGCAGAAGTGGGTTGGAAGAAGGTAGTTCACTAGGTGTAAAATTAAAAATGGAACATTTTGTTTGACCAAGTCTCAAGTATACGTGACAAAAGTGCTTTGGGTTTTGTTGGTGGTTTACCAGATGGGAGCATGGAGGTGCATGGAAAATCGAAGGACATCTGAAGAGAGTATGCAAATACAAATATAATAACACACGCCGTCTTTAATAATCAAAATGTACCTTGGTAACTAACTAGTTAGGGCTTTTTGACGATGTAATCCAGAATCAATGAGGTCATCAGAAGAACATAGGGCATAAACAGTTGAAGCGGCAGAAATGTTGGCTGGATTCCTATTAAGAAGGCAGTACAGAAAAATCTGGCAGGGGTGAGCAACAACTTTAACAACACACATTTTATCTTATATGTATTTTTTGGCACTCAACTTATCAACTGCCCGGGTGGTCTAGTGGTATGATTCGCGCTTAGGGTTCAACCCTGAGCATCTTTAATGCGCGAGGTCCCCGGTTCAATCCCGGGCTCGGGCCAGTTTCCTTTTTTGCCCTTTTTTCGCATTTGTCTATCTACACCACATGGATAGCTCAGTTACAATGTCTTTCTAGATATTGAAGATGGGAACGCTCAAGCAGTATGCTCTCTGGCATACGTCGATTCAGCAGTCGCAAACGAACTTCATACCCTTCATGGCAAACCAAGGCAACCGGGACAGTAAACCAAGGGGAGAAGGGGGCTCATCAAGAGAGGTGTAGGAGTTTGTTTTGTCAATCTGTAAACTACTTACTACTCGTAACCTCCGAAACACCAATTTCACTAACTCATTTACATACTATCCGCCTGCATAAATGAGAGGACAGGTGCATGCGCATAGGGGAGACCTCGTCCCCCACTAAAATATGACGACACTTCTCATTTAGATGTTCTCTCTGTTCTCGCTTTTACAAAGGCGGGAAAAGGCTTAAGTTATGTGTATAAAATTGAGTACTTTATGAAGTAGTAGGGTTTCCTTATATGCATAAGAATGTGTTTATCAAATATAATAAACGGCCAATGGAATAGGTGAACCAAAAAATTGCTGGAAGCATGTTTAAATTTACCGTTGTCTCCACATCGAAAATGTCATTGCCATGGTAAGACCAGCTATAAAGATCTGTAACCCTCGTGAATCGTGAACAAGTTGCAACCCTCTCTAGTTGAAGCCAACAGAAATATGGCGTGCTAAATGGAATGACAATTCCTGGATAAAACGTGTCAGTTGCAGCAGATATCAAAAGGTTTGTATATACTAAATCAGATGTGAATGTAACATAGGAAAGACTAGAATTCGCAAAGGCTATATAGTTTGCTCCACACGTTCGAGGAGCGATTCGCCAAGGCCTTACAGAGAGATAGGTTGTGGGTCACGTCTCTAACTGAGCCATCCAAAAAAACTACTACAACTCCGTATGGAGTAGATAATCCCACAATGCAATATACATGCAAGGCACGCAACATGGTCAACATAGCGCTCGCTATCGGAAGCCCATTATAGAGGAGGGTAACAGACCGGAGACAGAATTTACTTGCAAAAGGACTCGGCCAAAAGGGAAACTGTCTGCGTCTCAGCTAGGCAATGGTATATCTACTTGAAAACTCAATACAACGCTACCTATATCTTGTACGTATTTAAATACGGAGTGAATAGATTGAGACAAAAAATAGACGGGCCAAATGCTTAATGAAGAATTAGAAAGCCCAAAAAGACTGGCCCGAGCCCGGGATTGAACCGGGGACCTCGCGCATTAAAGATGCTCAGGGTTGAACCCTAAGCGCGAATCATACCACTAGACCACCCGGGCAGTTGTTTATATTGAAGAAGATGAATTTGCTTATACAAATCCAATGTCTTTTAATTCCTAAAGTCCACTTGATCCGGATCTTCCCAAATTTGCAACCCTGCCCAGTAACACCCTAAGCTCCATCGAACTCAAGGATAGCTAAATTTTCCATCCACACAAGCATTAACTATTCTTGATTTTGTTTAGCACCTCTGGTGATAGCCTCCGCAATACCACGTGGAGCTGCGACTTCTTTAGGATCTGTGCTCTAGGACCTGTGGCTAGATTTCATGCCGCCACATCATCCAGAGAGATCGCGTATAGGATATCTGTTATGCTTTAAGACACGAGCTGTAAAATCTTGATATAAGGCAGCCCTCTCATTTCTAAGCTTGGTTCTACGATGACGTTGCTCTCTTCTGCCTATTTTTACTTCTCGCATAGCGTGACTGGTCTAAACAGCCATAGGTATTCTTGAATTTAGCCAAGCTTCTCGTACGGTTCCTCGACTTTTTTAATTGACTGTTGAATTGTAAAGGATCAAATAACTCTTGGGATGGTTAAGACTGTTGAATATCTCGTCACTGCTCTCTTTACATCTTCAAGTAAGCCCGGCCCTTCACCTTTCTAGTGGAACAGTACTTAGCTTTGTTGGATGCTGCCTTATTACCGCCTCTAGCACAAGATGCTTCTTTGAGAAGGTCCGACTTCGTTATATGTTAACTTATGTCAGACCCCTAGATTCACATGCCGTGCTTCTGAGAGACCTACTGGCATCTAACTGGCACATTGACATCATTAGATTGATCAAATCCAACTTAAAAAGATTCTGCTTCAAGAGTGTTCTCCTACTGCGAAACGAAAATAGCCATTGGAGCCAATTCTTTTCAGAGTTACCATGTCGCACGCATCGCCCTGAAGGTTACTGAGAAATTTGACGACCTGTCAACGGGCTAGGAAGAAAAGCTTAGCCAAGAAAATCAGTGCTTCAAGCCAACAGAGGACTTAAGGAGGAGAGAAGACGAATAGGGGAGGGAAAAAATTAAGACAAACAGGCAATAACCAGCCTGGGTAGGTAGGTAGGTGGGTAGATTTAATTAACGTCCGGCTGGGAGCAAGCGAAAGCTTGCTCCTACGACCTCCCATAGGGTATTGGGACGTGCAATGCTATGGTTTCTATTATACAAAGATCCTTCTCCACAGATTGCAGTTCGTGCATTCGTAAATGCGAGGGCTGAGTAGCTAGTTGGTGACAGCTGTCTCCGACGTGTGAGCCGGCCATCATGGGGGTGAGGGACCCGGGGGGTCCGGCGCTTGAAAATCTAAATAGCCTACCGCCTACTGTGCACGGGCGATATCGTAGTCTATTAATTCCTAGACGCGTTTTTGGTGGGGTGACTCGTTGGTGAACGACGTTGTTGGCAAGCAAAAGAGAAAAAGAAACCGGCCCGAGCCCGGGATTGAACCGGGGACCTCGCGCATTAAAGATGCTCAGGGTTGAACCCTAAGCGCGAATCATACCACTAGACCACCCGGGCAGTTGATATGTGAAGGACTTCAAGTAAGCCTATATCAACCTTAACCCTGCTCTCGTCACCGAAAGTCTTTCCTGTGTTCAGCAGGACCAACAATTTTACCATACTGTTGTTGGTTTGAGTGTCTAGTTTTGGAGTAACACGTTCCTTTATGGGTTGGGGGAATGCTGGACAATTTGTGAGTAGAAGGTGGTTGGACACACTCCTCATCAGGTCATTATATGTCTCGGGCTATCAGATGCTGGGGATGCGCAATACATGGTAGACCTGGTCTTCACCGCTAGGGATGTTAGGCATGTCCACAGATAGAGCAGGAGTCCCAGACGACAGGGTTGGTGGTGCCCTTCCTAGTTGTTCGGGAGATGGGAGGAAATAATCGTGCCATGTGCCCAGCCTACCATCCCTGTGTTGGTGCACCCCATTCGACAATAAACCCCAATCAACGATAAATTTTGAAACATGTACACCTTGCATAGCGTGCCTAAATAATTGATACAAATATCTTAAAATATTTTTAGAATTGAGTTTGCTTACTCCGCTGCATATACAAGGAAACCCGAAGGGTATACGTTGCATAAAAGGGAACCAGTTAACCTAATATCCGCATACAATAGTCGTAGATAAATTATAACTGAAGCAAGAGAACATTGAAGGTCAACGTATTATTTTTATACATGGGGTTTTTTTTTAAACACTGCTCACTTTTGTATACATACAAACTTATTTAGCAAGCTCAAGGGTTGAGAAATATGGATTTTATGAATTTGCAGTGCTTGTACCGTTTTTATGGGCGCGTCATGCATGATGTGACTGATTTTGTAATTTTGTCGTTCACTCGGGCGCACCAACTTAGTGATGGTGTTGTAGACACATTAAAATAAATCAATACACACCAACTGCCCGGGTGGTCTAGTGGTATGATTCGCGCTTAGGGTTCAACCCTGAGCATCTTTAATGCGCGAGGTCCCCGGTTCAATCCCGGGCTCGGGCCAGTTTCCTTTTTTTCCACGCACTTTTCAATTTTTTTTCTTCAGTGGTAAACTAATTTTACGCAAGGTTAGTTTAAATTTTATACCTCTATAATCGTGTCAAGCGCCCAACACACCTTCGTGTACAACATATTGGTGCGCCCCACTTAACGACAATTCTCACTTAACGATAATTTTTCAAGTTCATATTAACTTTCTTAGCGTTTCACACTCTACCACGATGGCCGATCAAGTTAAAACTCTCGAGGATCGAATTTTTAAGGGTATCAAAATGTTTCGTCAAGCTAAAAATTCTAAAATCGCCCCGTTGGTGCGGGAATTTAGGGTTCTATACTAGCTACCGCCGCGCCCTATTGTTACGCACTGCCTAACTGGTCACAGTTATGTTAGAAGCTTTCCTGGTTATACTTGCCTGTGCTGATCCTCCAACGTCAACGATCTGTCTCTCAACCGAGCTGTTGCTGCGCACAGTCTTAATTCAGCCTAAGTCCTTTTGAGGGTATCGAGGAACGATGCCAGGTAGAGCGCCGAGTAGATCTATACTAGACTTCAGCAAAGCTCGAAAGGCTCGAAAAGCCCGAAACCCGACCCGACTCAACCCTCAAAAGGGTCGGGTTTCGAGCTTTTCGAGCTTTGCGGAAGTCTAATCGGGACGAAGTCGTTACCGTTAGTGCTCGCAAAGTAGGATATAGAGATGAAATTAACCACCTAGGAGCTGATTTCGAGTGCGATAACTCTCTTGTCGTCCTTACAAGAGGCGACGAAGGTGTCCACCGTCTTAGCGAAGGTCTTAAAGACCTCCCTTAGGAGTTTGGCCTCTCGGGCCTTCGCGTCCAGCCGCTCGGTGATGGCAGCAGAGGCGGACATGGTTGTGGTTGCGGTTGTGGAGCTGGCACCTTTTAGGAGAGGACCGGGGGGCTGCTAGCCCTTAGGTGCTTTCATCCGTTTTCCAGCGCGCGTGTTGAGGTTGGTAGGGGAGGAGGGATCAGGAGGCCGAGTGTATTCGGCATTTCGCGCGTCCATGGGACGATCGGGGGTGGATGGACCAACCATGAAGGAGGGTCACCGGAAGGGTTAAGCAATTAAAATAGAGACAGTCTGGGAGTCTGGGAGCCTTTTCTCAAAGGTGCCCCTATTTCGCAGATGGTTGTAAAGGTATAACCAGCCTGGGCCTAGGCGCCACAACTACTTTCTCGTCATACTGCATCTATCTTGTGCTTTTTGTTTAAGTTGGACTTTTTGGCAGGAATCAAGTTATTGCAGTCGTCCGTGTAGAAAGAGCCGGGAATGAAACTCCGAGGATCGTATTAGCGGAGGCTGAAAGTTGTTGTTGGACGTCTTAGCCATTTTTCCGTGCTCGTAACGGAGTTTAGGATCTCTATCAATGTTAGGACCTGGGGATCTTTCCAAGCCAAGGGAAAAGGATTTTGCACCGAAGGTCCAAGAAAGAATCCTTGGAGAACTGGAGGAATCATGTTTAACCCAAGATTCGATCAAGGTTTCCCGTCCTTTTTTAGCCTGTTATAGGCCTCCAAAATGCTCCCTGGAAGTGATAGGAAAGTGCAACACAGTGTCATTTCCAGAAAATTGAGAGCCACGGCACGAGTAGTGTGCATGATAGCCGAGTATCTGTTGGTACTTCCCTGAGCTTGAGCCAGTTCGCTGCTCGATACCCTTGTCCCTGCACAATGACATAATAATACAGTCTGCTCCTAGACCCGCACAGAATCGCCCGATTGGGGAATTGGATACGATTTGGTGGTTTCTCAGACTGACCAGGATAGGCATCTCAGTATTCGTGGGTTCTTGAGTCAGTGACGATATCTACGTAGCCTCCATTGGGCCCCAAAAATTATTTGACGAAGACAGCTGCATGCGATTTCTTGTACCTGTTTTTGTAATATTTCAACCTTTTCAAGTACGATGACTTTAGAATCGTATTCTGCAACTCCTTCAAAACTAACATTATTGTATTGTTCTATCATTAGGTCTATTGTTTCATTGCCCCCGAATTATGTCCAAATCGGGACTTTTGTTTCTCCACCAACAAATATCAGGCTGCCCAGGGTTCTAAAATTTTTGATGAAGAGAAAGAAGAAAAAACATGAACAACAACTTCTAGCCCCGAGTAAGTCTTGCACGCAGTGCTGCCCCAAAGAAGTAGAAGATATACGGGATGAAAACCATACCAACACCAATGAAAGCAAGCAGCCAAGAAGCCCACTGCAAACCAAGACGATCATACATCTGCGTGGTGAACAGTGGGAAAGCTGCACCACCACCAGAGCGCAGGAAGACTTTGGCCGCCAAAGCCGACGCAGCGTACTTCTGGTACGAATCAATGATATAATTATTCACTGAATAGTAGCACAACACCATGCCGAAGCCAAAGGCAATACCCGACGAAGCAGGTCCGACCCAGATGATATGTTTGTAGGAGGTAGCGCCCAAGATGAAGAAGGCAATCGGGATTAAAGGTGCCCCAAGCAGGGCCGCGTAGAGTCGATCTTCTGGTGTTGGAGATCGCATACTGCAGATCTTCTTGAACTTGCCCTCAATGGTGGGAGTGACAACCAGAGCGAAGCCGGCACCGATCAGAATGGGAATGAACATGAGTCCGACCTGGCCGTCGTTGTAGCCATAAAGCTTGGGGAAGATCACTGGGTATGCGAAGAAGAAGGCGTAGAGCATTGCGTAGATCAGCACGATATACATGCACATTAGGTCAAGAACGGGCTCGGTCATGATCATAGTGATGGGTCGGATCAGACTTGTGCGAGCGATTTCGCTGAATGTGAGCTTCGTCTTTTCTTGCTCGGTGATGATGTTTGGGTTTCCAGTTTCTTTGCGGAGTCTTGCGGCGCGGCGCTTAAGAATCACTGGAGCATATGTCTCTGGGACAAGGCCGATCAGGATCGTGATGGCACCGGCGAAGGCTAGGTTCACCCAAAAGAAAAGTTCGAGGCGGCCAGTTCCGATGTTGATCCAACCGGTCACGATGGGACCAAGCACAGGGCCACAGTAAGGTGCAGCAGCAAAGTAAGCGATAGCCATACCACGCTCTTCGATGCTCCAGATATCGGCGATGGTGCCGCCAGCGAGAGAAAGGCCCGAACTGGAGAAGACACCGCAGAGGAATCGGCATACAAGCAAGCCACCGATGTTTGGGGAGAGAGCGCATGGAATGTTGAAGATGGTATATAAAGTGAGAGAGATGATGTATACAGGTCTTCGGCCGATGATCTCGGAGAGGGGAGACCAGAGTAGAGGACCAACTGCGAATCCACAGACCATGATTGAACATGTCAGGATTGCAACTTCGAGAGAGACATTGTATTTATGTTCAATCAAACCCAATCCTCCGGTGACAATGGAGGACCCAAATGCGACACATACCACAACTGCGGAAGCCACCATAGTGATATACCAGCGATAAATGCGAGACCAGTTGTAAGGGTGTTCCGGATCATTGATGGTGAATGTTACAAACTCCGTGGAGCCCTTTCCTCCCTTTTCAATGTCTGTGTCGACCTCATTTGCTGGTGTGCCGACTTTCGTGGATGGAACAGAGCCATGAGATCGAATCTGCTCCAAGGTTGCTTGGGGAACAAGACCGGTACTGGTTTCAACGGTGTATTCTTCAGGGAACACAGGGTCCGTGTCGTGTCCAATTGCTGGGTAATTGTAATCCAACGGTTGAGGGGTTTCTGCGATGCCCCGGTTGCGGAGGCTCTCTTGGGTCTCGGCCATGGATCGGTGCTGGGGATGCAAGGGCTCTGGGGTCTCTGAGTCGTCTGGTATTGTTGGAGACATAATGATGAATGTAAGAGTCTATAGGCAAGGACTTTTGGAATTTATGGAATGGTTGTGCCAAATACGTGAAGACGACATGGCAGATACTTATACTCCCAAGGAGATGAAGGAATGACAGTATGGACCTGCAAGGCCGACTCATCTCCGAGATGGACCGGACGATCACCGGATAGTCGGTAAGGCAGAAAATGGCTCACTGAACCAGTTGCAACATGACCGGCAAAATCTCGGTCCGAGCGATCACCGAAGTGTCGACGTATCGTATCCATGGATCCAGCTGGATCTAGCTGAATCCAGCCCAACTTTAAATTTGTGATATGCCGATATACCGAACTATGATGTTTCAAATCCGATCACATCAGGGTTTTTCTTAGGCCCGATATTTTTTTGGCCGTTGGAAGTCTCTGAATTCTTTACGAGAAGCAAGGGACTTCGCCAATAGTCGACGTAGATGTGATGGGCATTCCAAATGAAAACCCCCCTTTCATAGTAATTTTCTTCTGGTCTTGAAACAAAGAAAGAAATGAGACCCATCAGTCCTCCAATCAATATCAAAAGTTTTCAAAACAGGCTGCAAAGATCACGACAAATTCTAACCTATAATGCCTGTGTGAACACAACCTATAAAATGTGACCACACCTGAGAATCCATTGAGTCTGTCTGAAGTGCTCAAATACGACCTAAGAAATTTCACTTAGAATTTTATAATAAATAACTTTCTGATGCCACAAAAAGATTCTCATTAGGCCCCATAAAATAAGCACCACTGAATCACCCTTCTACTCAATGTTTAGACTGTGGAGCAGGTCCAGTCTTAGAAGGGAAATGCCGCAATCGGTCATTCCGCTATGCCGAAAAATTTCCGGTTTGCTAAAAGTAGGTGTCTGATTCAACTACGGAGTACATATAGCCGAGAAGTGTGCTCTGTGGAGCTTCCATCAACTATATTTTTCTACATCTCATCATGTTGACCCCCCAAAAAAGCCACAGCCTCTAATGACATCAACCCAGACTTACCCAGCACCTCGTTCTCACCTTCTTTCACATGCTTTCGCCATAGAGGTGTCGGTGCAAGCGCTCTTTCTACCTTTTCCCATGATATCTTTGGTACATCATTTTTAATGCTTTTACCAAGGCCTGACTGCTTAGCACGAATTCCGTATCGCCTTATAAATAAAGCGAGAACGATGGGCAATTTTGTGTGTGATATGAGGATGATGCACTTGCTGGTGACGAGATCACGTTACTTGATCGCCCAACAATTTTCGAATCAGGCTGTAAAGGTCGATTCCTTCTTCAATTTGAGTCTGGATCTTTACATTGCATTGACTCATCACAGTACGTGTACGTGTAACCTTTTTCAAATGTACGTTTCCTAAAATGATAGCGAACTTAAGACGCAGATAACTTCGTTTTAAAAGGCACAGCCTGGTGTATTAACATGTTAGCCAAGTATAGGCGTCGTCTTTTTAGCTTTGGCAAAATCGAAATCAATTCGGCGACTTTTCCTTCCTGTCCTCAGAAGGTGAGAATTCTCGCAGGGATCATTTTGAAAAGTGACTATCAACGTGCGCATGTGGGGGGGGGGGTAGAGTGAATACAGTTCGAAAATTTATTGTCACTGGTCATTTATGAAATAACATGAACAGTGCCTCGCTCCAATCCTTAAGCGGTTCGACCATGAAACTCATGCCTCCGTCTTGGGTAAAACTTGCTGCTCCTCGACCGGGGAATAAACTACATCTTCGGCAAAGTAGTTCTCAGAGTTCATGTGCCTGAACCTGATCCAGAAAATAACCGTTTGCACCGCCAGTGCAACGGCAGGAGCAGCCCAAATCCAGATCAACCACGGGTCCTTGATCGCGGGGATGAGAATCTCACCAAGAGCACTAGATAAGGCAGTCATGAAAAGGAAAATGGCAACGACCAAACCCTTCATGCTTGCTGGGGCTCGAGCGTAGGCCACCTCGTACGCTGTGACGTTGGCAAAACATTCACTTATGGCGCTGAGAGCTGTATTGGGAACCTGCCACCAGATGCTAATATCGGCGACACTGTCACAAGTCGATGAGTGAGTGCCACATGGTGAGAGCTGGTAGACTTTCCATTGGACTAGTGCACCGACAATGCCGGCTAGAGTAGCAATAGAGAAGCCAATGGTCATTCGGGTAATGGGACCGGGCTTCAACCTGCGCCGCTCTAGGAATGGGTAGATCACGAAAGTTAGGATGGGGATGACGACCATGATTGTCAGCGGGTTAAAGTTGTTGAGAACGTCGTTGGGTGCTCCGTTTGTGATCATTGAGGCCCCTTGGTTCGTGGAGACTGAGCCGATACCACCGTCGTTTAGGTTGTAAATGGGGTAAAACCAGAAGATGTCGCACGCCTCTATTAAATGAACACGACTGTTAGCATTGATCAATGTGCCTAAGGGCTTTGCTTGAAGCAAAGTGGAGGAAAGGTCGGGGAGGTATAATACCCATTGTTTTCGCAACCTTGAATACTGCGGTATCCGTCCAATTAACTTCAATTCCCTTACTGCGAAGGTTTGCGGGTTTTGCTGCATCCCAGAAGTCATTGCGCCAGAATTGGAATCTGTTCTGCACAAGGGCAGTCCATCCGATTTTGAAGGCTTCCGCGAGGTCCTTGTTTCCACTGGGAGGATGCTTTTTGGTCTTTTTATAAACAGCAAAGAGAAGGATTGGAAGCAAGAAGTAAATGATACCCGATAGCAGGAAGGAAAGCCAATAACCAACATACTTTTCCGCGTAGGTTGTCGCCAACATGTAGAAAGCACCAATGTTGACAAACATGTAGAATAGCAGCATGGTCCGATTGTTGGTGGTTTCAGGGTCGACAATGACGTTCTCGCCCGACTTGAGAGTCTTGACGTATGGCGTTTGGGATTTGTGTTGATCCAAAACAGTCGGTGAGATATTTGGCTTGAAGAGACCAGCACCGAAAGCAAGAAGTAAGAGGCCAATAACGAACGGTGGAGCCGCGTTAGATTTGCCCTTCTGGAGAACAGATGGGATCGCGCCAATAACCTGGATGATGTGGGCAACGCCGCAGATGAAAACCCCAATCACAATAGCCTTATACCGACCGATATAGGTATCTGCCCAGTAACCACCGAAGATTGGTACGATGTAAGCCAAAAAATTTGAATAGTAGCACGAGGCCAGTACTGGCTTGTAATCCCATTCCGAGAGCCCCGGCAGTCCCTTGGGTTCCACGTGGAGGAGAACCGGCTCCATTGCCACCTGTGAGTAGTAAAACTCTTTAGCAATGGCATTCCTGAAATTCGATCGAAGACATGGCTCACCTTTGGGTAATGGGAATTGGACAAAGTTGGAGAAGAGTGTCTGTGCTCCATAGTAGGAAGCGCGCTCGGCAAACTCGACCAGACAGAGGGAGAAACCGACGAAAGGCAGATTGTCGGCTACTTTACGAAGGGTGTCATTTTCCTCCTTGGTTGGAAGAGTGAATTCATCATCATAGGATTCCTGAGATTCTTGCGATGTCTGCGAGGGCCCGAGGGCTACGGCCCCGGAAGTGTCCGTGATGCGCTCAATATTGCCTGATAAGTTTCATAAGGTCAGCTTTGCATGCTGTTTGAATAGATCAGTATGGACTGCATACTCATTGAAGAATAAAAACAGTTGGACTGATGTTTGGTTGATGGATTTCTGTAGGAAATCGACAATAAATACAGAGCTCCGAGACCCAAAGTTCAGGGATTAACGGCAAATCTCCTACCTCAATCGCGTGATTGTTATGTATTTGGGAATTTTCGATTCGAGTTTTGCCCTGGACTACTAGCACTTCTCCAGCTAAAATGAAGCAATTGCGGGAGATGGCTGCAACGGCACGGCATGGTGGGGAGAAATGACGAATGGACATGGAAATGTAACACTGGCGTATCACCCGGACCCAATTAGAGCACATAGTAACGCTTGGTGATCTTTCTTATGTGTCATACGGCGCTCTGTGGAAGCCATTACGGCTGTATATTCGCAATTTCGTTCTGATCTGGAGAGCGCCTCCAACCCTAAGCACGAATGGACTACATAGTACCCTGGCACAGATACCCTGCAAGTTTTGTCTTTGAGAACAGTTTGAATTGAGGTTTTATCTCAAGCTTTCGCCTTCAGGATGCCAAGATGCCAAGATGTCAAGTTTCCCAATTTGAGGGGCTTGTCTTATCTTCCTTTGCGGCTACCCAGCGCCCAATTTGAAGCAACGGCGAACACGCCATAGGCATTCTTTATTTGCATGTATCTACCTGTAGCATTAGCGTAGCCGTGTCCTGTGTTGAAACCACCCATATTTCCATCTTTATTAACTAGGGACACAAGAATAGTCGGAGGCTTATGTGGCTTTGTTATATGTAGGATATGTTCATTCTTTTCTCGAGCTTTCTAGCCAGTCGCTTTTTTATCGTGAAAGCTCTAGTACCTGGTGCAATAGGTTATTCAATTATTTCCTCGGCCCTAAGTGCAATTCCAGGACGAAGAGCATTTGAAGAAACAATGTGTACCCGGTCCAAAGGTGACCCACCCATGAAGGGTTGCGGAGAGTGGTAGGATCAAACGCATGTGCCGGGTAGCTGGGGTATGCATGTTTCTTAGATAAATGCCGCCTTAAGTGATCTTTGGTCGCTTATTCGTGAACCCAGAGTCTGGACGAGACCGCTTTCGCTCCATTGCCTCCATTTCAGCTCTCATAATCCTTTCCTGTTCAGTCATTTTCTTAGGAGCTGCGAATATAGAGCCCTTCTTCCCAGCTAAAGGATTCTTCTTAGCCACGGCGAACACGTTCTTCGGCTTCTGTGCGCCCATTGACATTGAAATTTTAACGGGAGCGGGAGGCTCAGAGGAAGCGGCAGAGTCGGTGCTTTCTGTCGGTGCACCTGTTTCTTCTAGCGATACCGTTGTCGTTGTAGGAGGTGAAGCAGGCTTTGCATCTGTCTTCTTTGAGCCAAGCCCAAGGTTCAACGTCATTTTTTCTCCATCTTTCCTCTGCAACAATCTTGCCTCGGGTTCTGGGTCGGTCACAATACTGCTAGCCAGCGCCGCTTGCTGGGCTCGCTTAATCTGGTCCTGAATCAAGCGTTGCTCACGTTCTTCGTCTCCCTTCTCCTGGCGTTCTTTCTTTAAGATGGCCTCCCGGCGGCGAAGTGTTTCTGGACTGTTATCAATCCACGCTATAACCAATCCTTTATCAGTCTCCTCAACCCGGCATTTCCCCTCCCGGCCCAAGTAGGCCGCGAATTGTGATAAACTTTTCCATTCTATCCCCGAAGTTAGCATTGGTCCTTACTTCCCCCTTCCATCAAGACATACCCGTGCTGTTCATGTGAATGTGCTATGGGATGGTTAGCCAGAGTGAGCAGAAAAAAGTGACATGCTAGGGACGTACCTGCTTGTCGGCGACAATCTGATTATAAAAATGATTTACGTTGATAGGTTTAGTTCCATGCGTGGTTTTGAGAGTGTCGAGGAAAGTTCGCTCAAATTCGCGACTGAACTCTCTGATGTGCTTGCGTGGGTCTTCTCCAATGATCATCATCTGTCGGACTGAATCCAAAGTTAGCAGATGGTCAGGAGATCTAGGATAGTTCCGTACCATGCGCTTCAGTCATGGTGTGACATTTAAAACCGTTCTCATCCCGACATTGTTTCTCGCAGGCTTGGCAAAACCATCGAAGGCGACCCAATCCTTTGCTTTTGATCTTGTTGCCGATAGCCTTTGTACTGCCAGCCTCCGCGCGGCCCATTTTGTGTGGTGGAAAAGATTTTGAGAGAAGAGCTCCAATAAAGCGACAAGAATAGAAAGATTCTCAGGGTGAAGACGTCAAGGAGTATGATGTGTGTTCAGAAGCATTCGAAGAAAGTCTTGGGAGAAGCTTGGAAGTGGCGCAGATCTGGAACGCGATAAGCCGATTGTTACATAACGTATCACATGACCCATCCGAAGTAGGCCTAGTCCATTTTAAGCTTCCGAAATTGGTTAGTTGATTCTTTAATTCGATGTTTCTACTCCGTAGTTAAAACTAGATGTTTCTATCAACGAATGAAAATGAAAGAAGTCAAAAAGTTAGGATCGTTGAACTATTCTGACATGGAAAAAAAACCAAACTCCCCCAAATCCTACGCCTGCATCCTGAGATCGCTTTTCTACCTAGGATCATAGCGTACATTAAACAAGAAACAAATTTCGCGAAGGCGAAGGGGTTCAAATACAACAGGCGAAGAAATGTCTGATAAACCAGCATGAGTAATGAGTATACCAAGCCTGAAGGTATTACAGGATATATTCATGGATTGCAGATGGTCCGCTCTCGTTGTACTCAACCCGGCTCATGTAACCCTTGCTGAGACCCTGATCAATGACAAAGAAAACCTTGGCAGCCATTTGAGCGCCAAGGAAAACCGCTTCTTCCATTCCATGCCCACCTTGGGATGTGCCAGACGTGCCTGAGTTAACCCCAGCACTGCCACCGCTGGCGCCAGGAGCATTGCTGTTGCCCTGGTCCTTGAAGTCTGGGAAATATTCAGGAAGCTTCAGGGTCTTGACTGAGGTTGGAGTTTGGGAGTGCCCGGTTGAGCGGTAGTGTGATAGCATGCTGGGATCCATGGAGGGCGTGCCGGGCATACCGGGATTGTTGTGAGTTGCAGCCACAAGGAGAGGGTTAACCCCAGGTACCGGGGGGTGGTACATCTGGCCAGGTTGGCCAATAGGAGCCGGTGTGTTGGCACCGGTTGGAAGAGGAGTGGTAAAGTTCGAAGGAATTTCAGAGGTGAAGATGGTGCCGGATGGAGAAAGTATGAACTTTTGCGTGATGACAGCCAACAAAGCCTGTGTGAAACCTGGGTTAATGTTAGTGAAAAATCCCAAGCTCTAGGTAGCAAGAATTAAGCATACCCTTGACCTTGCTTCCACATCCAACGATAATTAAAGAGTCCCAAAGCTCGCTTCGTTTTGTGGCATCTGGGACGGCAAGAATGGTGTGGTGGATCTGAGTCGCAATGTCTTCGAGGATACCACCAGTCAGGCGGTTTCCGACCTTCGAACGCGGAGAAGTCAATAGGAAACGCTCAACGCTGACTTCAATATCCCGAGTGTGACGAATGTACTGCCGAGCACCGTGTGCTGCCGCCTTTTCTCCTTCCAACTGAACAAACTCCTCAAATTGGAAAGATGCCTTCTCTTTCTTTGAGTTAGGCAAGCGGGCTCCCTTGGGGTCAACTGCGCCTTTCTTGTTGGTGGTTTTTTCCTTCTCGACATTGGCAAGGTATTCAGTCGGGTTGCCGCTGACGATCGCGGCAACATCGAGAACACCCTCATCTTCGTCGCCGTTATCCCCCTCAACTCCCGTCTGAGTGCCATCTCCTGGGCCACGCGGAGTAGATTCATCTCCATCTGATCCGCCCGTCGAGGCAGCCGCAGCGGGGTTGGCGCCCTGGCGCGCAGTAGCAGAAGATCCAGGAAGTGGGGTCCCTGGGGGCAAAATCTCAGTGATATTGCTTCGCTTGAGCTGCTCGCACATCTCTCTGGTAAATCCCTTCGGACCAAGCAGCTCAACGAGGCGATCGGTCATAGCATCTCCACCACATCCCTCCAATGCGATTCCCCTGCCGTGTTCGTTGACTGCGAAGTCGGTCACAGCAGTGACATCGACCTTGCCTTTTCCAATATCGACAATCGTGGCTGTAGCTGTACCATAGCCGTAGCAAGCCGCAAGAGCAGGGTCCATTAGACTGAATGCGGGTGCCTTGAACTTCTCAAATACAAATTGAGTAATTGCTTCGCGATCGCGTGCAGACCAGACTGGCTGACCAATAAGCATAATAGGAGTGTGGAAAGGTGGGCTCAATGTATTGTGAATGTGAGTGAGCAGGGCGAAGAAACAGGGCCAGTCGACGATGCGCCCGTTCTCGATCGGATAGATCGCCCCTTCGTCGGAGGCCAGATCCTCCTCGTAGAAGACCTCTTCGATAGTCTTAGTTGGCTCGCCATCATCCTGGGTATTTTCGTCGGTCTTGACAGTGGTTTCTGTGGATGCGGCAGGCTCAGCGTCCTTCATCTCCACGTCCGGCTTTGGGGCATCCGTGCCATTGTTGGCCTTCACCTCTTGACGTCTCTCGTGAACACGGTGAGGCTCATATTCTCCCTTTTTCTCGGCAGGGAACATGCGGGTTGGGAACCGAAATCGTGCGGGCGTGAACGTTTCGGGCAGGCCGAGCTGCGCCAAGGTCATTTGTGAACCCGGCGCAATTAGCTAGACAGATGGGTTAGTTTTTAACAAGAAAATTGGAAGAACAAAACATACCAAGATGTGCTCATCCTTGAAGGGAGGCATCGTTATCAGTTGCAGTAGAGGGCTTTGCGACGAGTGATGACTACGCGTGGGAGCTCCGCGGTGGCTCGATTTGCGTTGGTTGCGCTTTTGTCCCATTGTGGTTTAGTGTGATTTGAGCGCATCAAAAATCACGTGCAGTGGAGTTGTTGGACGAGGAATGACATCTCCGAACATTTGGAAGATCATTGCAAGGTGACAACAGCAAACTTCGATTTACACAATCAAACAAATTGATTTAAGAACGTTGAGCCAACTGGTACAAGTAATTAAACTGTGATGTTTCATGTATTGCTAGAAAATAGTGAGAACAAATTGAAATCATATCGAAATTGTGGAATTGATCATGACACAACTATGCACTTTTGGAATATATGGCAAAGTGCACCTCATCGTCTGCACAGAACCACCTGAGCAGGACTTGTCTATGAGCTCAGGCAAAATAAGACCTGTGGGCATACTCTAAATACCATGGTGGCTGACACACTCTGCTTTCCTGTCATCTGTGCTCACTGGTGAACTGCGATTTCCTGTTATCTTCAACCGAGTTGTACTCGAAACTCTGGACGTCGGAGATATTAGTCGCCTGAATAGTTATGCTCGGTCACTAACTTGTTGTCGGTAGCCTTTGTTGAATATACGATGTATACCTTGGGGACTTCTAGAAAGAGGTAAACCATGCCTATGAAACATTCAAATCATATGCAATTGACCAATGCATTGTGCGCTGTCGCATCATTAGATAGTATATCCTGCCCACAATCCATCCTCTCAAAACAGAAGAAGAAAAATTAGAAACCATTCAGGGAAACTCCAGACCCACATTTCCTGTGGAACACACAAAACGCCATCATCCTTTCCACTCTATGACCAGCACGAGTCTTGGGTGATCCTATTCTGGGACAGCATGGTATTTATCAGTCGCTGATCGGAATAGTTCCTGCTGTTGCCGTAGAAGCTCTTCTTCTGTCAGACCACTTTGCTCCATTTTGCTCTGCTTTTTCTCTCGTGACTATAATTAAGAACCGAGGTCAGCCTATGCTCTAAGGTGTCATAATTCCAAGAAAGATGCTCACGTACCTTCAGCTGCTGCTTGTGTTCTTCGGCAACGGCGAGTACATCAGCGATATAATCACTAAAGCCAAGATCCCGTAATGCCTTCTCCACATGTTCACAAGCGATGGTCTTCTTAGCCTCCTTCTCGCTGATGTCGTTTGCTTCGGAGGAGATCAGGGTGATGAATTCGACACAACATTCCATGAGCAAGTCGCGCGCATCCTTGGAGAAGGTTTGACCAGAGCTAGGTGGTAAAATCTCGGTAATAATCTTTTGAACCGTCGCTATCACAGAGTTAAGTAAGCAAATGCTAGCAAACGCGTGTGTGAAGCCACAATTGCACAGTGGCGAAGCGGCAAAGAAGCTCACAAAAAGCTATACACATTCATGAGAACTATTGCACCGTACCTTTAGGCAGCGATAGATCATCGTTTGCTATTCACGCACATGTCAGCAGGTTGCGTGTAGGCGGCCAAGATCTAGAGATCACTTACAGTTGAATTCTCGGTCGGACATGGCGAATCAGATGATTTGGTGACAGTCGATTCAAAAACAAGTGCCAGATCTTAAGGAAGAAGTGTAAAAAGGGATGCTTTAATTTCTTTGATCTTTTGCGTGGGGCTCAAAGTTTCAAGGCCCATCGCAGGCGCGCGACGGAGTTAAGTACAATTTCTTGCCGGCAGAATTATACCGCTTTGGATCACATAAAGTGCGCTGAATTTTTTTTTTCCAATTTTCGTTTTCATTAGTCTTCACTCTTCTCCAACTACCTTGGAAAGGGTCTTTCAAACGAGATCGACTCTTTCCAAGGCCACACACTAATGGTAAGCTCTTGCTTGAATTTTTTTTTCAATTTCTACATGATGAACTTTGCTTGTCGCCCCTATCATACATTCCATGGTGACCTTACCTGTCCTAGCCAAACGGACTATCTGAACTTTTTATCAAATCTGCCTATTTGCATCGTCAAATTTTGAAGCCATTGCTAACTTTGATGAAGAATCAAACAGGAGATGAATCTTATTGATGCAGTTTGGAACTTGTTTCTGCTTGGATTACATTCGTGGATCACAATTGGAGGGAAAGGAATTCTTTCACACATCTGTATCTAAAGGTATGCTTCAATGTTTGCCAAATTTTCAACTCCAATTACATGATGTATACCCTTACATTCCATGCTAAACATGAAGGTGCACTGCATCTGATGCTTATAAATGTATTGCTTTTCATCTTTCGACTGACTTGTAAACAATCGTTGCTTTGAATCTTGCACTCAGTGTTCTATGGCGATCGTTACTGACTTGCTACAAAGAAAACAGATTTGAATTTTTTTGAATTAGCTATCAATAACTACTTTTAACTACTTATTCCTGGAAAAGCTCAAGCTCCTTGTCGTTCCATCTGCAAGTTATTATATCAGCATCTTTTTTCGCGTATCTGTGGGATAGGACATACGTATAGAACCGACCGCTGATTTCCTTCGGCGCATCGAGTACTAGCTTGGCCATGACATGGCCGGGCTGTTCGGGCTTGAGGAGCTTGCCGTCTTTGTAGACTCCAGTAAACTTGGAGTGCATTTCGGCGTCCAGTGCTGTAGCATGGTCCTCCCGCAGAGTGCGCTGCATCTCAGTGTCAACCATACCGGGTCTGATAGACACGGAGGTGACGTCAGGTTCTTCAGCACCCAAGCTCATAGCAAAGTTGTTCATGGCGGCTTTTGTGGCAGCATAGAGAGCCCAACCACGGTAGCCGGTGACTGCTGCACCGGAAGACGTGAAGATAATTTTCCCCTTGGATTCACGGAGAGCTGGGAGAGCCGCTTTGGCCTAGGTTCTGTTAGTAGGGCATGGTAGATTTAATGTAGGTCCCATACAAAAGCAACCAAGCTGATAAAGTTGATGTCAAAGCCTTCCTTCCACTGCTGCGGATCGGCGTCGGAGATTTTGCCGATCTGACCTAGGAGGCCGTGGTTAAGGACCATTCCATCGAGCTGACCGAAGGTCTTGATAGCTGTGTCGACGGCCTGTTGGGCAAGAGAGAAGTCTGACAGGTCGCCATTCAAGACTGCCACTTGTTTGCCATATTGCCCCTTGAGCTTTTGGAGGGGTTCAACGCTGCGGGCTACCACCACCACATTGTGGGATTGAGGTGCTGTGAGCAGATACTTGGCCACAGCAAGACCGATACCTAGAGAAGTTGACATCAGTATATGGCCATGCATGCGATTCTGAGGGGCGGTACCTCTTGAAGCTCCTGTGACAATGATGGTCTTGGCCATTTCGATAAATGCTATAGTGGTGTTAGTGGTACGAAGTTTCTAGCAGAAATCAACGCCGAGACAGAGAAAGGAGAAAGGGAAGCCGAGCATGGAATAACAGTAGCAAGGAGTATGCTTGACAGAAGCTTTCGGCATTGCTTTGTATGTCGAGAGACTCATTAAACATGCTCAAGCTGTCTCGGGCTTATGGGCGAAGAAAGATGACTAAAGAGCTTTATAAAGCAACTCACTCAAGCCCTGAGGAACTCTGGATCGGCGCCTTCGGCAGCTCGTATGACTTACTTTCAAATTTAACTTGCAGATGTCTTTGTTGCTGAATTTCAATTATGACAATGAATAACAATGAATAACAATGTGAACCTTGGGAGATCCGTGGACAATGACAGAGTACCGTAAAAGGTTTAGTGCGGTGCTTATTAATTTTTAAGCCACAGGAGGGGTTCTGAAGGGTAGACGTCGTGTTGTACACCGTTTACCAAGTAGTTGTACGGAACAGTGTAGATGGAATAGAACCTAGAGGCATGAGCTTGAGCTATGATCGAAGAATTCTCTCAAATTGGAATAGAAAAACAACCCAATCAACGCATTCTCCGTCGACAGGTGGTTTCCCCAATGAATAGCTCTCGGACTGTGTGATCCTGGCTCTGGAAAACACTAACTTTAATAAACACTTTAGTTTAAAGAACTATATCTAAATTTCAAGTGGTTGTCAGATGGGTGGTATGTATAGTGCACAGTTACAAAGTGCATTGTGTATTATGCAGCCGAACATCTAATAGTGAAGCGAATGGAAAATAGAGCCGTTCATGATTTCAGAGAAGCGATTCGAGGGTTCCGCTTTCATGGGAAACACTTGAGCAATCGCCTAAACGAGCTAAATTTGCAGTTGGGCTATTCCCCCTACTCCCTTAGTACATCTTGTCAAGCACTAGGGTATTAAAAACCCGAAAAAAATACTCGGACCGCCATAATGGCACAAATTGCATCTCATAAATAATTGGCTTTGTCCGCACAGATTGGGAAAAGGACGAATTTGTCATTTTAGTAAGAGTTGTGCATCTTCGTTGATCGTAATATAACTTGTTGTACCTCTAGATTTCCGTCACTGTTTTCTCACGGTCGGGTCCATGGGTAGCGTACATCATTATCTAATATGCCAAGTCATGGAATTCCACCCCGCTTATCTATCCCACTACAACATAGTTGTGCAGGCCGGTGCATAGGAAGCCGGGAAGATAAGCCATGGAGTGCCGAGGAAGATAATATCGAACAGTCCCATCTGCAAGCAATCGTTGCGACGGACACGTCCTTTTGACAATTTACAAGCATTTTTGAATCTGCACCTACAACAATCAGCATGTCGACCGTCATCCTTGGAGGAGGCATCATTGGAGCCTCAATTGGGTACTACCTATCTGCTAACCAGCCAGAAGGTGAGATTCACATCGTTGAGCAATCCCCAGAGCTTTTCACCGCAGCTTCGGGATTTGCCGCCGGTTTCCTAGCCAGAGATTGGTTCGAGCCATCTCTTGCCCCTCTTGGTGCTATGTCCTTCGACTTGCACCACGAGCTTGCCGCAGCACAAGGCGGAGAGAAGAAGTGGGGATTTATGAAAGGAATAGCATTCAACTTAGACACCGTTACTCAACGCAAGCGAGGTGGTCCCCGGGGTGACGATTGGTTGCGAAAGGGCACAAGTAGAGCAGAGACCGCGGCTGGATCTGAGGATACCACCCCTATTGAGTTTCCGGGGTGGTTGACCATGCAAAAAGAGGGAATCCTGGAGAAAATCAGCCAGGGTGAAACTGTGGCTCAAGCGTGGGTTTAAATTAAAAGCGTTTGGCGGGTGATTTGCTAATTGCGCTCAGAGATCCATTGCGGTTGAGTCAATTCCTCATTGACGGTGCTGTGGCCCGAGGTGTTCATCTTCACAATCCAGCCCAGGCAACCGCAGTGGTCAAGGATGGGAAAGGTACGATTACTGGTATCAAAATTTTGTCTTTGGAATCCAAGAAGGAATCAATAATTCCGTGTACGAACCTAGTGCTGAGCATGGGGCCGTGGACACCACAGGTTCTCAGAGATCTATTCCCCTCCTCTCGAGTATCATTTGATATATCACCTTTGGCTGGTTATTCACTGGTAATTCGATCCCCTCGGTACACAATGGAGCACGAGAGAAACAATTATCGGGGAAGAAGCCATGCTGTGTTTACCACGCACCCTGCGTCGTGTGGATTTAGCCCTGAGATCTTCCTTAGGGAAGGCGGAGAGATTTATATCGCAGGTCTCAACAACCCCACGATGAAGCTTCCCCCTTGCGCCATGGATACCAGTCAGCTTTTTGATCCCTCCGAGATGCAGAAACTCAGAGACGTTGCAGTCCGCTTGATGGGAGATCTTCCCAAGGGCGCAAAGGAGGCCACCGACATATCGGCCAACAAAGATGACTTAGAGATTATTCGTGAAGGGCTGTGTTTCCGCCCGGTGGGAGATACTGGTGTTCCCACAATTGGAAGAGTTGGAGATTGCTCTTTGGGAGGGGTGAAAGCAAACCCCAATGGAGGCGTCTTCATAGCCGCTGGGCACGGAGCGTGGGGAATCTCCCTGTGTCTGGGAACTGGAAAGGTGATTTCTGAGATGATCAAAAAGCAAAAGCTCTCAGCAGATGTGAGCGGCTTGGCAGTTCGGGACAAAAGTCCTAGCTCCAAGCTATGAGCATTTGATGCACAATGCGAAAGAGCCCCAGATGCCCCTCTAGATGCAATTTGCCTGTCACTAGCAAAACAACACAAAATCTATGCACGTCTTGAAGATTGAATCCCCCGAGAGTGCGCATCTTGACTTTCCGAAGTTTAGCTCGTCGTCATTAACAAAGACTGATCATCTGCCGACTTCGAATGTAATTGCTCCTTTGTCAACCTCGCGCTAAAGAGCTCAACCTCTTCGCCTGGTACTACGACTATGCAAATTTATCTTCCTCCCTCCCCTCTCCTATACATAGACACGTTGGGGCACCCCATCCACATCTTTGTAATCCAATTTTATTGTTGGACTAGATTGGCATTGGGCAAGAGAGCAGAGAGCAAGTGACATGATCTACATACCTCTTATCAAAGGCATTGATAGCATCGGCCTTTGTCTAGTGATTAGATGGAATGTGTTAGTACTATAACCAACCGGCTGTTCTGAACATCAGACAAGCCTTACAGCCACCCACCAGTGCCGGACTTGACTACAAACCCTACCACTTGACAGCGTCGAGCCAATCCCCAGGGATTCCAACCTAGCCCATGAGCCCAGGTTGCGCTTGAAAGAGTCTAGGGGAGGGTCCGGAAAGCAATCACAAGCTCTATCAGAAGCAAGCACCCACCACAGCATCTGCCTTTCCTTCGAATTTCTTAACACAGTGGTCATTCTTCGTCTTGTAATTGACCCATGATTCTATTGGGGAAGTCCACGTAAGATTGCATAGTCTTGAAGTTATCAGTACTAAGAAAATGAGCCCTGAAAACGAATTGCAACACCCTGTGACTTTACCTGCAGACACCTCTTCATCAACTACACTATGAAAGACGAAAGCGTCTTCGCCTGGCATCACGACAATCCCCTTATCCAACTTCCTCCCCCCCTTTGATCCGAGAGATATTCGTTCAATCGAATTTGTGAACTCGACTTCGTAATGCTCTCTGGGTTCCGTTTTTCTCCTTTCTTTTCTCCTTTATTTTCTCCTTTCTTTCGCCCTTTGTTGTTGGCTCGTTGGACAAATTCAGGCATAAGTCTGCAATGGAGTCTCACTAAATCTGATCTAGTTTATGGCAGTGAACAACCAGTCTACACGATTTAGTCCAAGGACGAGATCGAATCTTTCTAACTCTCCTCCACCTCAAATAAATTTCGCCCCGGTTCTGCATCTAGCGCCAGCAAGGGCCCTGAAGGTAAGCCTCATCGACTATGCCAAGTTAGTGGACAGTGTCAAAGGAAAATCCTTTAGTTATATAGTTAGGTAGATATCTCAAGGCCCACAGGAAAAGACGTGACAATCCTAGGCCTAGGGGCACTACTATACCTCTTCCAAAGTAAGCTTCTTTTTCATGGCCTTTCCAAAAGTTGCTTGTAGGTGTCTTTTTCTTTGGAGAACAGTTTTTCTTCTTGTTATAGCCATTCTTAGAGGAATGAGAAAAGGAAAATTGTGAAAAATAGAAGATGTGCGGTGAAAGATGTGTGTTCAGATGAACAGAATGCTTGTAGTACCTCCAAAATATTGGGCGGCATTTCGGCACTCTCACATACCGCCCTTTACCGCCCTTGACAAAGGGGGTACACGATGCCACTTAGGACTGAATTTCGGAAAATAAATAACCCGACCACTGGGCAGCTCCCCGGGTTTAGTCATCAAGTATTCGCGCCACTCGAGCTCTCCAGAAACTTCAAGCAACGGACATCACCCCAGCTGTCAAAGCAATTTTGCCCTCCTCTCATTTGTGCCTGCGTCTGCAACAAGGCCCTCTAATTTAACATTTCCCCGAATTCTCCTCAGTTTAACATCAGAGCTTGACAGCAACCATGGCCAACTACCTTGCATCCATCTTCGGAACCGAGCAGGACAAGGTCAATTGTTCGTTCTATTACAAAATCGGCGCGTGCCGACACGGCGACCGCTGCTCTCGCAAACATGTCAAACCTTCGTACTCGCAGACTATTCTCATGCCGAACATGTACCAAAACCCGGCCTACGACCCCAAGAACAAGATGAACCCCAGCCAGATGCAGAACCACTTCGACGCCTTCTACGAGGACGTATGGTGTGAGATGTGCAAGTACGGCGAGCTCGAAGAGTTAGTCATTTGCGACAACAACAACGACCGTACGTAGTGACCCCTTTGAACCATCCGATCCTCTACTGACATCTGGTCTCGCGACAATAGATCTCATTGGTAACGTCTACGGCCGATTCAAATACGAAGAAGATGCGCAGGCGGCATGTGATGCGTTAAACTCCCGTTGGTACGCAGCGCGACCTATATACTGCGAGCTATCACCCGTCACAGATTTCCGAGAAGCCTGTTGTCGTCTCAATAGCGGTGAAGGGTGTGTACGAGGGGGCTTCTGCAATTTCATTCACCGGAAAGATCCCTCATCCGAGCTTGATCGCGAGCTCCGACTCAGCACCAAGAAGTGGCTCAAGGAGCGCGGCAGAGATCCTCGCAGCGCTAGCCGAAGCCCCAGCCCTGAGCCCGCCCGGCGGAGATACTAGTGCTGTACCACGGCTCTTGACCTTTCTCATTGTTGTTTTACTACATTCGATCCTTTGGCGTTCGGCGACATCAGTTGGTGGTTCGATTCCACTTTGCTTTGCGCAGCGGTGCATCTAGGGCATGGGGTCTCGGTCTTTCTTCACTTTTGCTGATTTTAATGATATCAGACTTGCGCGATCAATAAAACTCACAGCTAGGCTTCATGTACAAAGTATTGCCAAGTAATTCCCTATGCGTAGTTGAAGCTGAATCTGGTACGTTGACCACCAGCTACTGAGTCATACCGTTCAAGAAAACTGATTCCAAGGCACAGGAATGAAAAATTTCTCTCTAGCATTTGGGTTCACAAGTCATTGTTAGAAACCCACTTTTTCGCTCACTGATTGCCAATTTTTTTAACAAAGTCACGCAAATGAAAGCACATGTGTCTCCCAAGCATTGAACAATAATTCCATGGATTGTACATACCCGACAGATCTGTTTTACATCACACCACTTTGTCAGCTTTCTATCATCCAGCACTGGTAGCTCGACAATGAAGGCACTGGGACCAGATCTAGGGCCATAATGTGTAAATTTGTTAGAACCGAAACCGGACTTGGCCTAATTAATTATTCCGAACACCATGTGTATATGCCGCCTTCGCTTTTCTTCCCAAGGCCTCGAATTGCTGTAACGAATTTCTGACCGCTGTCGGACTCGGCTGGTCTGTTTCGGCTATGTTGGGTACAGATATTTGTATGATCAGGTTATAGACCTATGTGAATGGCAGGAGCTTCAACCATCAGAGTGTACGCTCGCAGCCTACTCTGTATCCTTACCAGTAAAGTCGGACGATGCTAGGGCTGTTCACGAGTTTATCCCCGAGACATCACGTATTTGCTCAGATTCTCCTAGCTAAATTCAGACGTCCTTTGTCCGAAATTGGGAAAGATTCCATTTACATCTGACCAGGAATAGAAACCATGGTTTCCTATTTAAATTTCTCTCCAGTTTTTTTCCAAGGTTGGTGACAGTGTGGTGCCTTAGGAACTGATGCATTTACTAAGCTTTCTTATCGGTCCTTCTTATCTTTCTTTCATCTACAGCCACGCGAGCGCGTCTGATCGCGTCCAAGCCAGTGCTCCGTTGGCACAAAGGAACATGAACTGAGTGGTAATGCGCACTCTGAGACCTCCAGAATAGACGTTACCATAGAAAAATGCCTGAATACAATGACAGCAATCGTGCCTTTCTCCAGGCGTTCATGGCACGCTCGTCGATGACCTTTGAAGATGCGCAACCCATTCTGGCTGCGATATTAACAGTCTCTGGTACTTGACTCCTATTTAACCTCCATACCATGCATGATGGCAATTGCTGACGTTGTTATCGAGCAGAGGGGCGAACAGTGGATCCTGATGAGATTGGGGCAGACCAATTCTCTGACTTTATATCAGCGGCTAACACCGCCGTGTCACCCTTCGACCTCGAAATCAGAAGTTTACTGCCACAAGCCCTTGAATCAGCTCAGCAAGATGCCCCAGACACACCACCGAAGCGAGTGTATGCGCTTGTAAATACTACCAGTGATCCTTTGACACAACTCGCTACCACTTATTCTCCGGACGAGATTGCATTTCTCAAGCGCTTGCTTGACTACATGTTTACTACAAATAATAACCGACTGTGTGAAGGAATGGTAGCTACACAAATGCAGGCCGTCCAACTCCATAAGGTTTCCTCTAGCGAAAGGCAATCCACGGGCAATGATTCAACACAGACCCAAACCGCAGCGGTACAGTCATTGCGCATGACTCAGGCAGAAACTATGATTGTCCACTTGATTGAAGAGGGCTGGCTACAGAAGAGCCCAAAGGGCTACCTCAGTCTTACACCACGAGCACTTATGGAGTTGCGAGGCTGGTTGGTCTCGACGTATAACGACGAGAGTTTCGATGGCCGACGGGTGGAGCGGATCAAATCTTGCGCTGCTTGCAAAGAAATCATCACCGTAGTAAGTATACTTGATCCCAAGTTAGTGCGAAACAGACCTGACCGACATACTCTAAGGGCCAACGCTGCGAGAACCGTGATTGTCCGGGTCGACTTCATGACCATTGCATGCGCAACTTCTTCCGTATGCAGCAAGCCGAAAAATGCCCTGTGTGCCAAAAGGAGTGGCCTGGCGATAAATTTGTGGGCGAAAGAGCGCTCTCTGCGCACCTGAGGCCAAGTAACGCCACTCCACGACAAAGGCAGTCCTCGTCTGCTGCGCCTAGTGCCTTAAGTGACAATTCCGAGGACGAGAACGACGATGCAGAATAAGAACACACTTGAACGCTGGCGTGGCAGATTAAGTCTGTTGTGGGTCTAACCAAATTGTTTTGGCCAAGTGATAATTCCGAGATGCGCTCGCACCGTGGACATGCTCATGTGAATAGCTACGAACGAATGACAGGGAACATATTGAGCAAGGATCACTGCCAGCTTGCTCGAGGTGACGTCCCAAGTGATGTCGCATCTCGTGCATTAACCCTATTCCTGAGCTTTTTGACAAGGCTCAGTCTTACAGGCATTCTCTTTTGTTAACCAAATGTAGATAATACTAGAGTTCATGTGCATGAGAAGGGTCATGGACTTTGTAAGAAACAAAGCCAGATTCAAACATGATCTTGGGATCACCTATGAATAAAATCCAAAATCTTCCGCAATTTGAAATGCAGCTTCCTGGTATATCCGAGGCATCACTACAGATGGAGAAAACGTGGGAGTGTTGATGTTACTAGAGTAGACACCTAAGGGATCACAACCTCAAGCTCGACTTTTTGAACGTTCATCTTTCATCCTTTCATTGAAATTACCCTTGAGATCATTGAACAGTTCCCTAATCTGTTTTTTTTTTTGAATTTAACTAGACAACTCCTAGGTGGAATTTTATCGGACCAATTTACTGCTGCAACTCCAAACTTCCCCACAGATCCAAACCTCTCGCACCAAACCTTCCTTGCAGTCGATGACGACGATCTGGAGTGGCCCGATCCCAAACCGGGTAAATCTTGGCCGTGAAGGATACGGACGGAAATATTCGGTCTTCACAGCCAATCGTCACTGTTATATACATCATCCCATCAAACTGGTTGTTGTCCCCGCATTTCCGGGTTCTCTCCCGTTGCTGTTTTTAACATCCAAGCCTACGACATTGCCCTTGGTCGATGCTAAACCTCCACCCACTGGAAGGCGTGTTCAATCAGAATTCAGAAAAATCCTCTGAACTTGAAACGGGCCAGTAAGCTTGACTTTACTTCACCACACTTCACCTTGAGTTCATAACCAGGGTGATTCAAATTGCTACCTGCTCCCTGTCTAATGTAGGTACGTGGTTGGATCTTCTCACTTTGGACTCATTTAGGAAAGTGCTCTTAAACCTCCAGTCCATCTTTTCTCAAAACTCCTCTTACGTCCTCCAACTTTCTCACCCTATGAATAGTGCCGATCGCTTCTTCTTCTTCTTCTTCTTCTTTTTGAACTAGATTTTAATTTATTCAAGTACCTGACCTGACTGAGAACGTGGCGAGACTGCAATATGCAGTTCCAGGGGAGTTTCTACCTGTGTGCCCTTGCCAATCTTCTAACACTTGGATTAGTCGTTGACGTGCGCGGTATTGTCGCTACTTCTGAATCTTGTCAGCGGCTCCTCCAGCAGCCGTATCATAAGGTGCTTCAGAGAACACACAGGCTCTAGCTCGGCGGCCAACTTTAGCAACAATGTGTACCAGACCGGCTTCGATGGGGTGACCTGGGACGAAGACAACTGGCTTCTGAGCTCAACCAACTTGGAACAGGGCCGCTTTCAGTCTCGAGGATCCGTGGCGAACGGATATCTGGGTATCAACGTTGCCAGTGCTGGTCCTTTCTTTGAGATTGATACCCACGAGGATGATACCAACGGCTGGCCACTTTTCTCTAGACGCCAGACTTTTGCAACGGTCAGTGGGTTCTTCAATTCACAGCCTACCACAAATGGCAGCAACTTTCCCTGGTTGTCCCAGTATGGAGACGACAGTGTGATCAGTGGTGTTCCCCACTGGGCGGGAATCATCCTGGATCTCGGTGACGATACCTATCTGGATGCAAAGGTTGACAACAAGACCATCTCCAATTTCCGAACCACATACGACTTCAAAGCAGGTATCTTGATCTGGTCCTATAATTGGACGCCTCGGGGCAACCGGGGATCGTACCAGATTACCTATCGTCTTCTCGCCCACAAACTGTACGTCAATCAGGCTATGGTTGAGATGGAGATTATCCCGACCACGGAATCGGATGCGACCATCGTCAATGTTATCGATGGAGCTTCTGCAGTGCGCACTGAATTTGTGGAGACTGGAGAGGAAAACGGTGCAATCTTCTCGGCAGTCCGGCCGAATGGGATTGCCAACGTCACAGCTTATGTTTACACAAACCTCACTGGGTCGCTAAATGTAGATCTCTCTTCGCGCAAGATTGTGTCCAGCAAGCCATATGTCCACCCCAACAAATCGTCCATTGCGCAAACCGTGAATGTGAAGTTCAAGCCTGGTCAATTAGTTCGCGTCATCAAGTATGTCGGAGGTGCTTCTACGGATGCCTTTGTTGATCCGAAACAAGCGGCCAAGAAGGCTGCCTCCGCCGCGATGAGCAATGGATACACCGAATCTCTTCGAACTCATATTGTAGAATGGGAAAATGTTATGCCCGACGCGTCGGTTGATCACTATGCATTCCCCAACGGGACATTGCCTGCAGATAGCCACATCATTGATTTAGCGGTCATCTCTGTGGCCAGCACTTATTACTTGCTACAGAATACTGCTGGCAAGAATGCAGTCACGGAAACCGCGGGAGCACCGATAAATGTGGACAGCATTTCAGTTGGTGGCTTGACCTCTGATTCCTATGGTGGCCAAGTCTTCTGGGATGCAGATGTATGGATGCAACCTGGCCTTGTTGCTTCTCACCCAGAAGCGTCCGAGCGGTTCACCAATTTCCGTGTGGCCAAGTATAACCAAGCACAGGAGAACATCCAGACTGCCTTTTCTGGCTCCAAGAACCAGACACATTTTAGTCCGTCAGCTGCAATCTTCCCTTGGACTAGTGGTCGCTTTGGCAACTGCACAGCTACTGGTGCTTGTTGGGACTACCAGTATCACCTGAACGGAGACATCGGAATCTCCTTGGTTAACCAATGGGTTACAAGCGGTAATACAAAGGCATTCAAAGAAGAACACTTTCCAATCTACGATTCAGCAGCTACTCTATATGCGGACCTACTGATTCAAAATGGGTCTTATTGGACATTGACCAACATGACCGATCCAGTGAGCTTGGCGGCCTATCTCTTTGCAACATTCAATACTAACATAGAGTAGGATGAATATGCCAACCATGTTGATGCGGGTGGCTTCACCATGCCGCTCATTGCCGAGACTCTCCGACATACCAACGTCTTCCGTCAGCAATTTGGACTTGAAGAGAATGATACCTGGGATGAAATGGCTGACAATGTCTTGATACTTCGTGAAAACGAGGTGACTCTCGAGTTCACTACCATGAATGGAAGCGCTGTGGTCAAGCAAGCAGATGTGGTCATGGTCACCTACCCCTTGGGATACACGGCCAAATACACCAGCGAGAATTCATTGAATGATCTGGACTACGTGAGTATTCTGATATATGACAAAGATCGAGCCAAACTAACAAGAAGCAGTACGCAGCCAAACAATCTGCGGATGGCCCCGCCATGACCTGGGCTATCTTTTCTGTCGTTGCAAACCAAATGTCGCCGTCTGGTTGCTCAGCATACACATATGCGCAGTATTCATATAAGCCTTATACCCGCGCGCCTTTTTACCAAATGTCGGAGCAGATGGTGGATAATGCTACCCGAAATGGAGGCACACATCCGGCATATCCATTCCTTACTGGTCACGGTGGTTCTAATCAGGTTGCCATATATGGTTATCTTGGATTGCGGCTGGTAGCAGATGACATCCTCCATGTGGATCCAAGTTTGCCTCCCCAGATTCCATACTTGAGATACCGTACCTTCTACTGGCGGGGGTGGCCCATCTCAGCGTGGTCAAATTACACACACACGACTATCAGCCATGCCGCAGAGGCTGCCCCATTGGAGACTGCGGATCAGCGATTCGCCAACAAAACCATCACGATTTACTCTGGCCCAGAAGTCGATTCCACCATTTATCATCTCCCTCTCAAGGGCTCTGTTGTAATTCCTAACCGACAGAGTGGATCGGAGAGCACTGTGGCAGGCAACCTCATACAGTGCCAGGCTGTTTACTCTTCAGGTGCATTTGAACCTGGCCAGTTCCCTATATCTGCAGTAGACGGCGCAGCCTCGACAAAATGGCAGCCCTCACTGGCAGCTGAGGTAAACTCTATTACAGTCTCATTTGAAGATGAGGTTGGCGCTTTGGTATCAGGGTTCTACTTCGATTGGGCGCAGGCACCCCCAGTCAATGCCACAGTGATCTTCCACAACAAGACACTGGAAGACCCAGCGACGGCGCTTTCCGCTGGAAGATCGGACTACGTAGTTGTTCACAGCCTGACAAACATCATTCAATCGAATCCATACAATCCTGCAACTACCAACCTTGATAACATTGCCATCCCTACCGGAAATTCAACAAATGTGACTCTATTATCTCCCGTACCAGCACCGCGTTATGCGTCTCTGATTATTGTGGGAAACCAAGCGCTGGGCTCTGTTGATGTGGAGGCTAAAAATGGAACTGGTGCGACTGTTGCTGAGTGGGCTATTCTCGGGCAAGCAAAGACGCGAACTGCTTCCTCAGGCCCCAAATCTGCCAACAAGAAGATGAACTTGCGTGCAGCAGCAGCAGCAGCAGCAGCAGCAGTATCAGATTTGGATGCCTTCATGCGTCGGCGTCGAATGCTCGTGTTCTAACTTTAGATCCTGATTGGCTTGCCCTGGAGTTCTCTTGGAGTTTCTAAGGAGAACTCGCCAAAGAGACTGACTCTGTAAATACAATCTTCTCTTCGATCAGGTTATCTACCGGCACTTCCCCCTCAATACAAATTTATTGAGTAGAAGCTAAATTTTCATCGCACTCCAAAGTAAAAAGTTCAAGTTGTAGATCGTGCCTAGTTGAACAGTATTCGCACCTATTTAAAATTGATATATCCATACATACAGTCATAACGGAAACCCCCTACTCATCAAGAGCAAACCGATCCAAGAACTTGAAGGTCCGAAGTCCCTCCTTAAGATCGTTGGCAAAGGCATCTCCATCGGTGCTACCAGTGTACACACCCTCACGGTCCAGAGAGATAAGCCCAGACTGCAGAGCAGCAGAGCCCTTACCAAGCGCACCAATAGTCTTCCCGAACCGGAACGCATCGAGCAGAATATCCAAAGGCCGACCGGCGGGATACAAAGTCGACGCGCCAGAAGCCTTATTAGGCACACTGGTGAAAGATTTCGAGCCAAAGAGACCCTCCGCCCCATCCGCAACAACAATGGCATCGAACTGCACCGCGTCAGACGCAGAGTACGTCTGATCAACATCATCGACCAACCTCTCCGCCACGACAACGACATCAACACCCGCAGATGACAAAGCAGACTGCAACTTCGCGCCCTGCGCAATCGAAGCCGGCGTATCCACAGACGCAAGGAGTCCCACCTTCAGCCCGTCCAGCTTGGCGAGTTTCTGCCCAAAGGCGCCGATGTTCGCGGTCGTGTTGTCGTGGTAGAAGGAGTCGTCCGGCTGCGGCGGGTCAATGCCAATGGCCTTGGCGACGCGAACGGCGAGATCGTTGCTGATGCGGTTGAGTTGGATGATTACGTTGTTGCGGACGACGCTGCTCTTGACGTTCGATGTCTCGAATCGCATTGCGTCGACGACGAATTGTCTTTCGGCTGGCACGAGCGAGTTCCAGAATAGGCGGGGTTGAGACCAGACGTCTTCGAAGGTCGAGCTGACGGTGCGTTGGAGCTTGCCGCTTGCTGAGCGGTCTGGTGCGGTGAAGAAGCCCTTGCCCACGGTTTGGTTGGCTTGTTTTGGGGAGCCCTTGTTTTCCGTGTTGGGGAAGTAGGCGTTCGGGTTGAGGGGGATGAACATTTGGCCTAGGGTGGTTAGAATGGGGAGGAGCTTGACGGGGAGATTGGGGGTTATGGTGAGGTACGGACCTGCTCCATCACGGTTGTTGTTGTGGATGGGTACGCGGGGCCGGTTGATGGGGAGCTGCTCGAAGTTGGGGCCGCCGTGGCGGTTGAGTTGGGTGTCTAGGTAGGAGAAGAGACGGCCCTGGAGGAGGGGATCATCGGTGAAGTCGACGCCGCGGACGATGTGACCCGGTTGGAACTAAGAAATTAGTATTACTCGCCTAGGATAAATGGGCAAAACGTACCATGGCCTGCTCTGTTTCAGCGAAGTAGTTCATGGGGTTTCGGTTCAGTTGCATCTTGCCCAGCTTTGTGATAGGAACGAGTTCTTCCGGGACAATCTTGGTAGGATCCAAAAGATCAAATCCAAATCGAAGCTGGTCTTCTTCCTCCATGATTTGAACACCAAGCTAACGAATTATTAGCAGATGATCGGGATGGATTTTAGGGGGGGGGTTATTGCTTACCTCCCATTCGGGGAAACGTCCAGCTTCAATGGCTTCGAAAAGATCTTGACGCATAAAGTCCGCATTTTTACCAGCGATCTGCTGTGCTTCCTCCCACACAAAGCTCGCCTTACCCTGAAGTCCCGTCCAGTGGAACTTGACAAGCTTGGTCTTTCCATCGTCAGTAACAAAACGGTAAGTGTGCACGCCAAATCCATTAGTATGACGGAACGACCGAGGAATACCATGCCCAGCCATTGCCCAAATAAGGGTGTGGAGCGCACTCGGCTGCTGACTGAAGAAATCCCAAGCCGAGTCGTGCGCAGTAGCAGCCTGGGGGATTTCGTTGTCGCCGCGGGGCTTGACGGCGTGAATGAGATCCGGGAAAAGGATGGCATCCTGGATGAAGAAAACGGGGACGTTGTTTCCAACAATATCTAGATCGAAATCAGTTGTGTCCGTTCCTTGTCGACAGGGGGTCTCCCGTACCAAAGTTTCCCTCGTCAGTATAGAAGCGAGTCGCAAAGCCGTGGACGTCTCGTGCGGTGTCGGCACTTCCGCGACTGCCAGCAACGGTGGAGAAGCGGGTGAACATTGGGGTTTGTTTGCCTTTGGCGGAAAGGAAAGACGCGGCGGTGATGTTGGACCAGTCACCGTAGGAGGTGAATGTTCCGTGGGCGCCGGCGCCTCGAGCATGAACGGCGCGTTCCGGTACCTTGAAAAACACATGTGAGCTTTGTAACTTCAATTATCGCGTGGGACGCATACTCGTTCATGATCGAAGCGTTGAATCTTCTGGCGGAAAATGAAATCCTCGAGCAGGGTCGCTCCACGCTCTCCAGCACTGAGACTGTTTTGGTCCTCGATCGGGCCGCCAACGTCGGAGGTCAGATAGACGTCTTGATCCTTGAGGTAGAATTGGGAGAGAAATTCTTCGGTGTTGGCAGCAGCATCTCCGTCAGCTCGGCGCGCGATATGAGGGTTGTAGCTGGCCTCGCCGGTCATGTATGGGCAGGCAGCATTGGCAATGCCGGCAAGGCCCGTAACAAGGGCGAGTACGTGCATTGCAACAGTTAAGTAATACAGCTGTTGATCAAAAGCTCAACCTCAGTTGAATTACTAACAGGTCAACCTTCGGAGACAAGACGAAAGAACCCTGGGCTCTCTTTATACTCCGGTTAGAATGTAAACCCGAGCGAACTAAAGCTGCCTAGTGCGACCTTTGTAGTGAGCCAATGAGAAGATCCATAAAGTTGCGAACGACGCATAATTCAGGTCCTATGATTGATCAGACATGAGCTGGCTATGAATTTCCAACCAGAAAGCGATGGATCATTTCAACGCAACGGTCGAGACCAACAGTGTGACAGGATCGAATGACCTGCTGGACATAGTGGGGCGCAAGTAAGCTGTTGACCGTCTCCACGAGCCAAGGAGAGAAGTGGAGACAATCTGCATGCTTTGCTCCGACAGGATCGTTAGCTTGTCCCGGTTGAAATTCTGTCCTGTTGATCCCACCGACGGGCCATTTGCATCAGGCTATCACGAAAGAAATTGGCGAAAGACATAAGCTGATGGAAACTCTTGGCGACTTGAATCTGAGCCGGAAGAGTCGGACTACCTGGAAGAGTTTCAAGTCAACCGTCGTGCATAAGTGAAGGGGGAGTGAAGGGGCTGATGTCTTGGCAGTGATTAACCGTCAAAGGGGACCGTTGGTCGAGGCCGCGATGCTTGGTAATTGGCAAGTAAGATTCTTGCTAAATCCACTTGGCGTTTGAAAAAAAAAAAAAGCAAGCTGTATGTAGGGGGATCTGCACCCTAGCGTCAAGACATCATGTCTCATTTGGGGGTTAATCTCCCAACCGTTCGGAGGTAACAGTACTCCGTACACCTTGGGCACCGGGAGATAACCGGGGGAATAGATTGCGACATGGGACTTCAGCACTCGAAATTGAGACTTGGGAAATTGACAAGGATCAGGCTGCAGTATCGATCACGAAGCCTATCTTTTCTGTGCCTAATCCTTGGAATCCTTGCTAACGCACATCTCTACCATTTTTAGAACCCACCCGCAACTCAATTGGGATTGTGATGACTCGTTTGTGTGGCTAGCCAAGATGTTGCATCGGTCTTCGAGGCAGTACAACATGGATAGTCAATAATGGACATGGGCAGTCTTGTCCATGAGAAAGTACGTCCCATATTCGTGGCCTACAACACACGGCTGAGCTCGTGGTGGGTGACAAGCTGAGAGATGCTTGGCGGAAGGGGGAATGACGGAAAGAGATGAGACCGGTCCTTTTGGGATCTTGGCAACTGTAAAACTGTAAAATGGACATTTCAAAAATGATCGAAAGAGTTATTTCTAGTGTGAAAGAGGTGGGATAAAGCTTCCGGCAGGTGAGTACGGTGTACAGTCTACGGCGTATTCTCGTAACAAGGGCCAGGGGGCCAGGAAATCTTTTGGGGGATTGAGAATTTCCTTTCTGAATTTGGGTAGAGTCATTGCATTCATCTAACAATCATACGGAAGATCGGCATTGGTTTCCCATGCGAAGGGAAGACAGTAAGCCAAGGTGAACGAATGTCCGAAATGTTCCTTTTGACTACTCCTTTTGTCGATAATTCTGAACAGCTGCAACTCCAACTCCTAGGAGTATGTTGCCTACTCGACCGAAGACATAATATAGATCTATCCTCGAGCCATCGGGGCAATCTCACTCGGTTTAGCGGGGTCACTGCGATCCACAAACCCATACTTCGCATACAATGGGACACCAGCCTTACTAGCATCGATATATGCCCCAACACCCTCAAGATCTGCAATGTCGCACCCCCAGCGAACAAGCATAGAGCCGGCCCCGCGATGACGGTAGTCGGGATGCGTCCCGAGCATGTCAAGGTCCATCTAGGGCGTCAGCAAAGGTACCATCACACAGCATGCAGCGGCTAGCGGTCAAGGGTTACCCTTACAGTAATGCTTCCGATCACCCATCACACGTTTGCGCTCTTTCTCCAGCCCCGCAAAGAAATGATCACATACTTGACCAGGCATGTCCCCGTGCCAAGGTGGAAACCGAGCCCCGCGCTCGTCGGGCATGGCCAGGTCCCATTTCGCATATGCGACTACCCGCGCCTGTCCCTGGGCATCTTTGGTGTTGGGGTCGATCATTTTGAGGTATTTTTGATAAGGCTTTGTGAGCATGGCGGTGCGGTTGGCTGCGGTAAACCAATCACGCACCCCTGGCGTATCTGGGAATAGGTGGCGCATGCCCGGGTCATTGAACACGGTAAACCATAGCTCTGTAATGGCAGGAAGGTCTTGGATCGTGGCGAGTTCTAAGACTAGAGGGGTTGAGGTCGACATTCTGGGCGTTGAGTTTCTTGGTTGTTGTCGCGGGGCAGTTTGGAGTATAGTGGGGTCCAAGGCTAGCGGTCAAGGTTGATTTGATTTGAAATCCTCGCAACGATGGGAAGTCTGAGTCAGGCATCGTATGAGGACGGAGCTCAGAAGGAAATCGTGCTAAGGTCTAACACGCAGGTCTAAATTACATCTAACTTTAAATTGTAACAGGGGGTTAACCCCTGTCAGATCACTTGGGTCTAGTGGGTTCAAATATGAAGAACCCTCTTCTTATTTTAGCTATGTTCATAGGAGTTCGTTGTAGGCAAGTTTACTCAACGCTACCAGGAACATCGACGCCAACCATCCCAGTTTCAGTAGAATCTGGAAGGTGTGGGTCGTGTTGTTAGAGACCGGTTGATCCCTAACGGTGATGGTATGCAAGTTCAGGTGAACGGAATCACTTGGTGGAGTTGAACGTCCTTTTTTTTTTTTTTTTCAAAGATAGACTGGACGAAGCTAGCGCTGAATGAGGCAAGTTGAAGTAGCGAAGCACGGGCTGGTAACAAAGTCAGCTCAACCCCAATTTTTGGCATCTCCTGTAGATCAAATGCGTAATAGAGTGAATGAAAGTAAGTTCACGCAGATCGTCACTTATCATGTCTCCACGTGGCTTGCCATGCGGATGTGTGATAGTCTCGGGTTATCAAGTTGAGCCCGTCACATGAGAAATATCAATTTAACTGAAATTGCACGAAAACACGAATTAGGTTGGATCGAATCCTCAGTGGTCTCATCTATTGCAGTCCTGTTCTGAATAAGCTTGGCGGGAGTCGTATGACAGTTTGGACGATCCAACACGATTTTGGGTTGAAGAAAGTAGAAAGTGGAACGTAGAAAGTAGAAAAGAGATACATGCAGGCAGGATCAGGAAGATGTCTCACAGCTTGATATCCACTTCTGGATTGATACTTCTTCAACGGGTGTCTTCAACGGGGATCTTCGGGACAGGATGAAACGAGATTGAGACAGAATAAAATTCTATTTGATTACAGTTCCAAGGTATCTACAATTCACATTAACATTAAGAATTACAAGATTGCGGGACAGACGGTCAGATTCGACATGCCCAGGGTCAAAACAAACCGTTCTACCGTCTGTGGACCAGCGACCTTGAAACAGTCGTCTCAAGTGAGCGGCAACAAGTATGCGCCAACCCTACATCGAGAATGTTAGCGATTACATCTCCAGCTAATAGATACAGTGCACATACGAAATAGCTGCAAAGCAGGCGCATAAGATAGCGCCCTCCAGATAATTGGTCTTTCCTTTGAGAACGATAAAGTCAACCAGAAGAACAGCCCCGATCAGTGTGACCAGTTCGAACCCATCAAAATGTAAGGTCATAGACTTGTCCAGAGCCCAACCTATAAGCACCATCGCAGGTGCAACCAAAAGACCGATTTGAATGGCTGATCCAAGAGCAACACTGATGGCAAGATCCATCTGGTTTTTCGAGGCCACGACAACCGCGGTGACATTCTCAGCAACGTTTCCGGCGATGGGAATGACAATTAAACCGACGAAGGATTCACCGAGGACGCCTTGTTGGTTGAGCGTTGAGAAGCTTGAAGAAAAGTATTCGGCGCATAAGGCGATGAGAACCGTTGAGATGGCGAGAAGAGCAACTGATATTGTTCGCTTGGACCTAACAACGTAGCGTTCGCAGCTACATGCTCCAAAGTTTCCCATAGGTGGTTCCGTTTGTGCGGGAAGGCTCGTTCGTCCTTCAAGTGGCTCGTTGTGGAACAGTGGTATTGCTGCTGCTGTGTGTGCGTCGACTGAACGTGACCGTGGTCGCACTTCTTGCATCTCTAGCTGGCGAAAATCTCTACTCGTTGCGTTTCCGACCCGAGTGGGATGTGATTCGAGGTCGTCTGTGTATTGTTGAGGATCGGTTGACTGTGGCACTTGAAGCCGTGTCGAGTGGAACAAGTGGGCGTGTGATTTGAACTGGAAGAAAAGGTACAAGAAATATATGCCGAGGAGGATGATGGACACCCCCCTGCTGAACGACAATGAAATGTGATCAGCAGAAGTGACACTCTTTACGCTGCCATAGAAAGCGCTCTATGTTCCAGGTTAGTATCAAGCTGAATTGGGACACTTGAGACATTGACCTACTGGTATCATAAGGCAAGAAATCGTGAGATTGAGAAGTCCCACAAATGACTGTGTGAGATCAGTGTTATACGTCACATCACTCATTGAGATACAGCCTGCTATTATTGCAGATCCGAGGACGAGCAAGAGATTCACGAGGATAGACCCGAGAAGTGACAATTGAACTACTTCAATGTTGTTTTTCACCAAAGCAGTGCTATGGAAGATTAGTTCCGACTCAGAGCCATGGCAGCCAACTTGGTCCTAAATGCTAACGTACATGCTAAGTTGCTTGTCAGTATCTATTGATTGAAAATGGAGGGATTGCCAAGGTCCCAATGGGACTCACAAAATTATAAGCTCCGCTAGATTCCCTATGGTGATGTTGAGGAGAGCGCCGGCGGTCTCGCCCAAATCTCTGGATATCCTTTCAGTGGCTTCTGTGAGCGTGATCGATAGCGGCACAATAGCAAGGAGGTTCCAGATGAATATTACAATCGCCGGGCTTTGGGTATTGGAGATAATGACTGCCGATACCGCGAATGCACCCGAGAAGATTATCCTGAGGCTGACAATCTGTTGTATTTGTTGTTTGAACATGGAGATTGAACTGCAGGGTCTACCATGATGAGGCCAACCAGATAACATGCCATCATCGGGTTGTGATTTTTCTGGTCGAAGAAAGGTTTTCACTTTGTGGAAGATGTCATCTGGGCCTGAAATCTTGCAGGCTAGCTCGGCATGTCCTTGATAACGATAAGAAGGCTACGTCAGCTTTGACTGGACGAATCGGAAGTATGAGACTCACTGCTCATTTCATATTGACAGGGATAGGAACCACTAGACCTGGGGTCGGATTCAAAAGAAGTATTCAGGGCGGTATGCTCGTCATCTGAGCTTCCAGCGAAAGCACTGATGTCATGAAGGTTCTTATCGTTGGAACCATTCACTGTGGTCATCCTGGAAAAGCCCCGGAAAAAAAAAAAAGGGAAGATTAAAAATCACTATACTAATGCCAAAATTAAGGGCGGAATGGCCATCTGAATGTGAAAATGAGAGTTGGGAATGAGCGTGTGTTACAGGTATGGATTAACATTGCGAGAATTGAGTATCGACATGGGAGATGCGCACAACCCCTTTTCCTTGTGGCACGCCTGTTTAAACCGCTTCCAAGTTAGCGGCTCTTGGCCATCATATAATTCGATGTAACTTCACCTTGTGCAGTGCACAGTGGACTGTGTGGGGGGCCATACACCGCCTTCCTAACGCTTACTGTAGACACACTGACGCGCTTTCGGATCAGCGGAATCTTGGAGAGAAGATGACATTTCTCATTTCTTGCAAGTTAAGGGTATGTGTATGAATGCCGGTCACATAGGTTGGAGTCTGGCTTTCTCTCCAATGTTGAGTTTGATAGAAGACAGGTTATGATAAGACCGGCAGGACCGGCAGAATCGGCTGAACCGGCAGTACCGGCAGATTCAAAGGGCGGTACATGAACCCCTGACGAAAAGCCCCACTGTGCGTTGATCACCGATCACGTGGGACAGATGGAGATGCTAACCCAAAAGCAGTCTAGAAAAAAGGGGTGAATCTGAAGCTGCCATGGCTGGAATACAAGAACATGCCCCTAGAGAATCCAATCACCTCCCATTTAAGCGACGGATCTCCCTCACCTGAAAGGAGATAGAGAGGGGAAATTTGTTAAGAAAACGAGGCTAGCAGTCGGTTAATGATCTGTGTCCGGTGGGCATTGGATGAAAGAATCCCCGCAGAGATTGACGTAGCGGGCCAACTACCTTGATAGGTTGCAATAGACCCATACAAGGCTTTGCGATTACGAGTGTGAGAGGGGCTTAGCCATCCAGGGCCATCTTGTACAAAATTGGAGCCCGGAGCATTGCTGAGAGGATTCTCACCTCGGCATGATTCGTTTAATCGCTCACATCTCCCCAACATGCGTGATTTTCCAAAGCCGGTAGTAGAAGACATTCAACTCCAAGGGCTACTGAACGGATTGTACATACAATTGACGGCACCAGCTGCCTCGGGAGTCTCCTTGTACGTTTACCATGATTGCATCTTTGCATCTTCCTGATCCCGAGAATGCGAACAGTATAAATGTGTTTTAACACATTCTTTTTTTTTGGTTCCTAAACCTCTACGAGGCTCTCTCCCTCTCATTGGCCAAACACATACCTAGGGTAACATGGGCGTATATCTGCAGTTCATTTCAAATCGAGCAGCCTTGATGATACAAAGGAAACTCCGTGCATAGTTAGAGATATCGGAGAAGTAGCCTATAGAGAAAATGACATAGGACCTACCTTAGAGCCTAACATGTGATGTTACGGAGGAAGGCGGTGCTTGGAAGGTAGATAGGTTGTCTAGGTAGGAATTTTTTTTGGACAAAGACTTATTCACTGGAGGCAAGACCCCGGTCGCTATGCTGTGCGCTGGCTATGTTTCCTTTCCTTTGGTCAACACCTCAAGAGCTTCCATGGATCGTAAAGACAACTAATTTAATCTATCCAGGGAGCTGGTCTCCTTGGGATGTACTAGGGATTGTTACCGCGGTTAGATCTATCTGTCTAATTAAATCAAGAAGGCGCCGTTAAAACCCTGTGGCGCCAGTGACGAGGACTTACTTGTGATCACCAGTACTGATCACGTGGTTAGGAAGAGACCAACCTGTGGTCCCCAACGGATGTTAGGGCCTTATATATGCCGCTACAATAACAAACAGATGTTCTGTTTGTCCTTATGATCTTTTGGCCTAGCGGTTAGTTAACTAGTTAAATGGTCTTAGTTATGTTGTCCATCAGGAGTAGCGGCCTGATTTGTCTTCGGGATTACAAACCTACAAGGGCATCTTGTAAGACATTCTTATCAGGTGAATGTGTACGAAGTAGAGGGATAGGACTAAGATTGACAAGTGTTTCCCTGGAATGGTCTTAATATGCATCTAGTACTAGTGCCCACCCCCCGCGTGGGGTGAATGTGGAAGCGAGATGAGAGATTAATATCCATAATATCCACATTACATCTGTGGGGGGGGAGCACGATAAAGTCGGAAAGGAACGCTGCACAGAAGAGAGTAGTTGAGAATTCTAGTTGATTGGTCTCAGGGAAAAGTCAGCCGCCTATGCGACCCTGTGTTTTTTTTTTGGATATTCTTTTTGGATATTCTTTTTGGATATTCTTTTTGGATATTCTTTTTGGATATTCTTTTTGGATATTCTTTTTGGATATGTTTTGAGATGACCGCTTTCGGTATGATTCAGGGGTAAAATGCTGACTTTTTGTCAGAGACTTGTGTAACTATTTGAAGCCAGAGATATCGTCTAGAGATGTATGTCGAGGGGAAAATAATCGCCATCTAGTTATATCTACAACATGTTCATCACTTCCGTCTCACTTCAGTTCTTGCAGCACCTCCTCTGTTGTACGGACGATAACATCAAACGCATTACGGATATACTTCTCTTCCGCCAGAGCATTGGCACTAACCACCCGTAAAACACAGACTCCATCAACCACTGTAGAGGTGATGAAGATTTCGCCCCGCGTGTTGACCAATTCGGAGATCTTCTTAGTCAGGCCGTCAGCCACGTCGTCTTTGGCCACGCGACCAGAGGATTCACTGGCCCCGTTAGATACAAACTGGGGGTTCTTGATGCGGAAGACAGTCAAGCCAAAGCCTGGCTTAGTGACGATCTCAAATAGATCAGAGCGACCGCGCACTAAGTCGGCAAAAATGTCACCGAGCCCAATGGTCTTGCGGATGTGCGCTTTCATGCCGTTGAGACCATAGCTCCGAATCACGAACCAAATCTTCAGCGCGCGGAATCTGCGACCGAGAGAAATAGACCAGTTCCGGTAGTCAATGACGTTCCCCATATCCGAGTATGGGTTACGCAGATAAGTTGGTGTGATATCCAATGCGCTCGTCAGATCCAAGCGATTCCGGACAAAGAGGACGCTTGTGAATGTGAGACCAAAGATAAAATATTTGTCCAGAGACGACTGGAGTGACAAAGCTTACCTAGCGTCAAAGTTGACCAGCAGCCACTTGTGCATATTCGTGTTGAAGCTGTCAACACCCTCAGCAAAGTCCTTCGCCATATGCTGCCACTCATCCGCAACAAGCGACGCACCGGCATAGGCGGCATCAATATGCACCCAGATGCGTTGCCACGCTGGCTTTTCTTGCAGAACTGCCTTGATCTCTGCAAAGCGGTCCACACTGCACGTATTTGTCGTGCCAAAAGTCAACGTGAGGTGGTACGGAGTAAGTCCGTCCTTATCGCACTTCTCAAGAACCTCACGGAGACGAGGTCCGGTCATTTCCATGTTATCCTCCAACCGCGTGATCACACTGCGGAAGCGAGTACCCGCAACCAAAGCACCCTTAGCACCGCTGCTGTGTGTTTGATCACTGGCAAGGGCGACTAGCTTGGCTTGGATATCGAACTTGCGGTCCTCATACTCCGGTGTACCCTCTTTGAGGCCTTCAGCAAGCAGCAGCTCTCGCACACGCCTCTCTCGTGCGGCGACAATTATAGTCGCAATAGCATCACTTGCACTGTTTTGGATCACACCGCCGCCGTGGGTTTCTGACGTACTCCTGAAACACTCAGGTAGTGCCAGAGCTTTTGCAACCCAGTCCATAACAATAGTCTCCATCTCTGTGCATGCTGGCGAGCACAACCAGTTGAAAGCAGGGGCGGTGAACGTGGCGGAGTACATCTCACCCAGAATGCTGGGATACGTCACGCAGGCGGGGAAGTACGCCATGAAATTGGGAGACTGCCAATGGGTCAAGCCGGGTTTGATTTTGGTGTCAACATCTTCCTGAATTTGTGCCCAGTTCTCTGGCTCATCGGGAGGGTTCTCTGGGATTAGAGGTCGAAGGTATCCGGGCTCGACGGCGGGCAGGACTCGGCGCTCGGGCACACTGTCGAAGTATCTGATTACTGCACGAAAACTTGGTTAGATTGAATATAAATGTGCCTGGAAGTTGCACAAAGATAGGACGAGTCGTACTATCATCAATGGCAGAGTGCGCCGCGGTCTTGAACTGATCATGATCCATGCTGCGCGTCAACTAGAGATCTGCGATGCAGGGTACCAGATTTGTTCCGAAGGTGCAAGTACGACAATTGAGGCACAGTAGAATGAAAGATTGAGAAATGAATTAATGAGAATTAACGATAGGAACACAAGTGTGAATTGTGAGATTGAGGACACAGAATGTTTTGAGACAAATTTGCAGACACTTCGAAGACAGGCGCGGGGAGGTCTGGAATTAATTCCGTCGGAACTTGAAATTCACGGCAGTTTCCTTGAGCTCGGAGTGTTCCACCTTTCCGAGGAGCATCTCCATGGATAAACTACTATTTTCCAAACTTCGAGTCTGCTAATAGCTCAATCTTCCTCTTCCCTGGGATCATGAATGTCACCCCTAGGCGTCTTCTCTAATCTCTTCCCATCCTCTGTTACAATCTCCTTGCTAGGGAAAACCACCACAAAGACCCGGACAACGTCTTTGCCTCGATTCACCTATTTGTGGTTTGCGTCGTGGTAGACAATGATATTGTGTCGATTTAAAACTTTCGCTTTGCCTCGACCTGTGATAAATCCGACAGTGCCAGACAACACTACAGCGTAATCCAAGCTTGGTGTCCGATGGACCTGGCCTATATCTGCCAGGGGTAGATCGAGAATGCAAAAGGAAGGACCCCTGGTGTTAGCCAATGGGATCAGAGTTTTCTGCGGAAAGAGCTTGCGGATTTTGTTCACTGGAAAGCCGCGCGACTAGTGAAGTTGGATAACCCCGAACCTAGACTTGGACCCTAGGGTTGAGAATGCCGGAGTAGGAATGGGGCCGTATAGCGTCAGGATTTCGTCGGAAAGCGAAATGATCCTTTCTATGAGTATCTTTGTCTATAATTATGCGACAAATTGGAGTCTCTATGATGAGAAAAATGAGTGCCTGGAGTGGGTTGTGGACAAGTGGAGCTGGAAGAGAGTCTCTGAGGCAAGAAGTGGATATGAAAGTGGAGATGTTTCTTGTATATCAAGAAGATAGTGAGTCAGAAAGACAGAGATGAAGGGCAGTCGTTCATGGAATTGATATGCGCTGTTCCAATTGAGAACCATGAGATTGGTAAGATGGAGGCTGAAAATCTATGAAGCTGCAAGCACAAAGCTTCCAGTCTGACTGCGGGTAGAATAATCTAAATCTAGAGAACGATAGAATAGTCTTTTGATCGATCGTCTTTCTAGCTAATAGATTCGCTGTTGTTCACTTGGCCTCATTTGAATCCCCCTGATCGCCTTCCCCGTCGTCCGGATTGTCAAAGCCCTCATCGTATACCTCCGCCTTGAGCTCCTTCCCTTGGATATTCAACTTATCCATTGGTAGATATACAAACAACATGCGACACCAATCTGTGTCACTCCGGTTTCGGAACGAATGTGCAGTACCCCTTTGCACACTAACATCGCCACGATGCATGTGCCGACTCGCACCTGAATCCAGTACGAGATCAACGTCCCCCTCAATAATTACTCCATAGTCGACACTCACTGTCCGATGCATTGGTGTCGCCTTTCCCGGACGGAGATCTATCAAGCGGAACAGGGTTCCGTTGTCGACTGTGATTCCAGGAGGTTGATGAAGGAACTCGTCATACTGGGCAACGTCCGCCTCAGCATCAACCGAGGCTGGCATATTGGTCGTAGCGTATAGTAGGGCAATCTCGCCATCTTCCCCAGTCGGTGTGGACGGGAGGTAGTCGGGAACTTGCGCATGGGAAAGAAATATTGACTCACCCTCGGTGTTGTGGGTGGTGATGTAGCGGCGGATATAGGGAAGGGGGTTCTTCTCGTATGGAGGCATAATGACTTGACAGAGTTGGATTTTGAGAAAGAGAGAAGCGATTAGGGATTTATCAAAAGTCTCAATCTTGAAGTTCGGAAGTTCTGAATGTACCCTTGACAAAATGCTGTCACATCACGTTGGCGTCATTTCAATAGATCCATGCCTAAGTAGGATTAAGCATAACTCTGTTCCAAGGTTGATCCAAAATCAAATCGCCAGACAAGATGTAGGGACTCTATGGTGCAGGGTGCTTCGATATCATCTCCCAACTTTCTGGTTCAAACTATTCTTCAAGATGCCTCGAGGACTTGCTTTTTCCGTTTTATCAAACCCAGCTGGCAGAG